TATTCTCTTCTGTTGAACATGTTGGATTGTGTATTGCCCGAGTCAGGGTCCTTTTTATTTTACTGTAACTTTGGAAGTTGTGTTACCAATGCTTACTGTTTATTTGATACCAATTTGGTAATGCAATTAATAAAAACAACAAGGTTTGGGTTCGTTCTTCAGATGACTGTGACGTTAATGTGTAAGCTCAATAATGAACTCCAGCTCAACCAACCATATTGTAATATCTAAGTAATCATCTTGAAATATGACATTAATAATTGTAATATACACACATCTTATTGTGAGGTTGATTTCACATGCACTACTTCGACGTTAGCTTGTCTACATACTTGAGCATAGCCAATTTAAATTAACCTTAGCGATGCATACAGTTCCTACCTACATAATAAAATATCTCTCTAAGTTACAAGGATGACCTTATTTTATCAACCTCAAACAGAAGCCTTTTGTTCTACAGTACTATCTCACTTAACGCTTAACACTTGTCTATTTCATTTTAACCTTTATATATACAGTCTATGGTTTTACGTTAACTTGGAGGATACGATTAGCATCGTTAGCACCGATGTAGCTACCACTCGCTTACACGCTAACCCAAGCCTTAACATTCATTACGTAGCTGATTAAAATCATAAACACATAAATAAAGTACTCGAATTTCACTTAGCGCAAAACCGCATTCATGCACCGTCTGTTTTAACCGCAGAGCGAGTCACAATAGTCCGATATATAAGCATGAAGAACAAACAAACACGGCCGGGGTCAAGTTGTGTTCCCTGGATGAACTGAGCAGGCAGAGTCCCTGTAGCTTCACGGAGACGGAGCAGCTAGCAGAGAGACAAGAAGCTAACAGCAGCAGTCACTTGACAGAGCTGTCACTCAATGTGAGCACGCCCTAATTTATGCAAAAACTTTAAGACCTAATATAAATAAAAGGGTCATGTTAGAAAACAATTCACTCACAGATCCATAATCATGAAGGTGGAATCTAACTATATCTATAATAATATTTATTGGATCCATGGGTAGAAACAGGTTTTTTTAGGCTGTAAAATTGGGCATTTTAACATGGGGTCTATGGAAATTGCTCCTTTCTGCAGTCAGCGCCTATCGGCCAATTATGAACTGCAGTTTGTGGCACTTCCGTATTGGCGTCCCGGCTCTTCCCCAGAGTTTGCCGCTTGGTGTGAACGCGATCTGTTCATGAGAACTAAAGAGTTCTCATGAACTAAGTTCTCATGAACCTTTGTGGGAAAAGTACTGCGGTGTGAATGCCCAGTCTCACGGCATTTCGTGTTATTAGTCACGAAATTAATTTAATCTATTGATTCGTGTTCACCAGCACGATTTTCACCTTTTTTTCGTGTCACACAGAACGATTTTAAATGCAATGTATTTCTATTGGTAGTATGTTTCGTGCCTGCAACACGTCTTTTTGTCCGGTCGGGTCTTGGAAGACCAGAAGCTGTGTGGTTCATAAAAACATGTTCTTACTCAATATCTTACCCTAAGCCTAACCCTATCCCTTTTATTTTAAATTGTATAATGTCTGAGTTTTTTTGCCGTCAGTGAGGAAAAGAAATGGGGCTCAGAGCCTCAGAATACTGAAATCTGTATTTTATGTCATCTTTTTTTCCTTCTAATTTGTTATTATTTGGTGCAGGCACGAAACATACTACCAATATAAATACATTGCTTCTAAAATCGTTCTGTGTCAGAATACTTAAATCTGTATTTTTTTAAATGTCTTTTTCCTTCTAATTTGTTATTATTTACATTGCTTTTAAAATCGTTCTGTGTGACACGAAAAAAATGGCGAAAACGTGTTGGTGAACACGAATCAATAGATTAATTTCGTGACGATAACACGAAATGCCGTGAGACTGTGTTGGAATGCGCCTATTATGCAACAAGTATCCACTTGAAGTGATTTCCATCTCTGCAACCGGCACAACACAGTCAAAAATCTCTTTCAACGAAGAATCCTGACGTTGCTCCTCTACAACTTCATTGTGTGTAAGTAATACCGAAAACGCAGACAAAGATGGAACCTCCACTGTATCAGTAGACTTTCCATCTGGTGGCAAGTCATGATCTGTTTTGGCCATAGCACGTGTGATCACGCAAGAGGACGTGACGTCTGGCACCACTGTAGAGCTCTCCTCAGACCCTGACTCAATCAGACCGCCAGTGACTAAAAACGCAGGGGGAACATCAGTCCAGACTCTGCTACCTGCCAAACCGTTGCCCAGAATGAAATGTATCCCCTCGATTGGCAAAGCTGGACGTACACCAATAGCTACTTCACCCTTAACAAGCTCACAGTCAATATACATCTTATGAACAGGAATAGGGAGAACCTTTAATCCCATCCCCCGACTCAGAACCGTGTCACTTTCCTCAGACAAAGGCAAAACAGAGTCAACAATAAAGGAGTCAAATGCTCTTGTGTCCCTCAAGATTTTAATTGGAACTCTGACATTGCTACCTACCAATGACACCAAGCCGTCTCTTATAAATGGGGCATAAAATGCCAAAACCCTCTGATCCACATAAGTGGGCTGTAAGCACCTCAGCAACACAGCAGCTTTTCACAGGAGCAGCCAGCGCAACAGGTTTAACAAAAGATCTTCCTCCCTTGGATTTTGCTCTAAGCGCAGGACATTCTGCCTTCCAATGGCCTTTTTCACGACAGTAGTTGCAATTATCAATATTATCCATATTGTCCACATCAGATTTTACCAAACCCAATTTCCTTGGATACATCCCAAACGAACCAACATCAACAGCCTTTCTACTTCCTTCAAAAACAGTTAAGGCCCCAGAGCGCCCTCCGAACCTGCTCTTATGAAGCAACACAAACTCATCAGCTGCCACAGCGGCTCCAGCCGCAGAAGTTACCTTGTGTTCTGTTATGTATGTGGCAATGCTGTCAGGAAGAATATTTTTTAACTGTTCTAAAATCATGAGTTCACACAAATCGTCAAAAGAAGTGATGTCAAGAGCAGTTAACCAACGCTTAAAATGAACAGACAAATCCCTCGCCATCTCCACATATGTTTGACCTTGTTTTCGCATAATTCAGAGGCTTGGTATTACCCTTGTGTTTTGTTTTGGTAAAAATGGTTCATATCTTCAGTTAGCTGAGATTCTTCCCGTTAATCTGGTGCTACACATTAATAGTTTCATAAATGTTAAGAAGCCCTGAGACACAGTCTTGGGGGGGGTCCACTGGGGGGACCGTCGTCCTTAAGAGGTTAAAGACTGGACTTTTTAATTCAGTCAAGAGAAGAGAAAAGAGAATAAATAAAGGAAAGAAAATTGTTATAAGGGGTGATGTAACATTAATGACAGCCATAATATGGCTAGGGAGGCTGTGGCTGATCCTGCGTTGATCTTCGGATCAGAGGGGCACTGGTTCAATCTCCACTGCAGTCAGCATGTCGTTGTGTCCCTGGGCTTCACCCCAAATAGCTCCTGTGAGGATTGTCCACAGTATTGAGTGTATGTAAGTCACTTTAAGGTAAAAGCAACTAACAAGTGACATGTAGAGGTCAGTGGCACTCAGACTTTACTGGGGTCATTTTTTGATCATGGGGCATCACCATGGGGCATCACCCTTGTACAGCATCAGGACAATATCTCTATGGAGTCAGACACTGAAAGTGTGCTGGAGGCTGATGCGTTGACTGGGACTGATGGAAAGAGACTGATGAGACTGAAGAATCTGCGAGGAACAAACTAGGGGCAGAGAAATAATCATATTTGAACCCTTTAATTGCCAGACCAAGAAGAAATCTATGGACAAATTATTTCTTTGCATTTTATTATCAAATAGGACACAAATAACCATTTACATTTTTTTTACTGACCACACAGTTTTGTTTTTATGAGCCTCTACCAACTGGTCGTGCTGGCCTTGGTAAAAGTGCATTTTCAACAATCATACAGTACAGTATTTGTATGCATCAAACTCAAATAAAACACAAACTCAAATACATTTTTTTCTTTTATGGAAGATGAGCAATATATACAACAAGATATATCCATAAAAAATAATAAATTATAATTGTAAAAAAAAAAAAAATGGAAAAAAGTAATGTAAAGTGTTTTTCATAATAGAAAAAACACTTGCTCATCTTACTGTATATGCTGAATTGGCCTAACAACAAACAACTGGCCTAACAGCAAATGTCTATATCCTGTGTTGGCCTAACTTGCTCATGCAACTTTGGGCTGCATTTCATGCATGAAAGGTGCTATATAAATGATTTTCGCTCTTTCACTCTGAGACTCATAAGGCAGTACTATATTTAGTAATATTACCATGAATCTAGCTATTTACCATATTTTATTGGAAAACATCTCTGAAACTCTGAAAAAGTCATATTCTAGTTTACAATATGAAGGCCAATTTGACCGGTTGGTTGAGCATATTTTCAAAAAAAAATAATTACACCCTTGTTACAAAAATGTTTTGTGCATCAAGTTATATAATTCTGTTCAGTAAGTGCTCTGACACTAAAATATGTCAAAGGATCTATATTATTTCCAAGTACAATTTTGGCATTTCAGAAATGTACAGTATATTATCAAGGATAGTAACATGTATTGTGTTTTGGGGTCAATATGGAAATATTTCCCTTCCAGTGTCAGCATTCCAAAGGCCCTTTTTCCAGTTTAGAGCAATAGCCCCTCCAAATGTCTGTGCACGTCCCTGGCTCTGTCAGATAGGCTAACTCTAATGGAGTCGAAACCACATTCCCAAAGCAGTGTGTATTATGCCTCAAACTAAAACAGCCATTGGTGCTTTGTTCTGTGTTTTGTGTTAACATTTGTAAAATTCAATAAAGAGTAATACAAAACAGAAAAGCCATTAGATTCTCCACCACTAGTGTTTCAGTTTATACCTTTATATATACAGTCTATGGTTCATACGCAGCAACCGCACAATGTGAACTCACAATGTGTGGCAACAGCGCCCCCTGGTGTCTGGTCGCAGAATGAGCCTTCTCCTGATTGGTTGACCGGTTGTCAGGAGTGTTTACAGGAAACATGGCTTCCCGGTCTGTTGGAGAGCTTCAAGAGATGGAAGGTGAGTACATTTATAAAAAATACAGCCGTATTATGATCGTATAACCTGGATGAACACACATTCATTAAGACAAAGGTACCGGTTTTTATATGAGCAAATCGGGAGATTTTTTGTTTATTGTTAATAAATACACCTTCATCATTGGCTGGCTAGCTAACATGCTAACAACAATCCTCGTTAGCTGACGTTGTTACCCACACTGTCCAGCTAGTCATTATCTAATTATAGTTTCATAGCTGCTTTGCCATGCCTTATGGTCCACTGAAACGGGATGTTATGTTTAACGCAGATTATCTGCCTAAACATGTTTACAATGGTGGCTGGTAAAACTGCCTACTGTGCTCCATCAGCTACCCAGCTAGCTAACCTGGTTAGCAGTGTTACCCCTGTGTGTTAACTTGAGTAAGCTAACTTCGACTTGTGAGTTAGTTTCTTAACTGGTAAGGTTGAAAATACAACTACGATCAAATCCACAGCAGTTGTTATTATCCAATGGTGTTAATACGTGATAAGTGTCCTCGTGGTCTGGCACGCATGTTTGCATTGTTACAGAGACTTGATCTGGTTTAAATGCATGTTCTTCTACAGTCAGAGAATGGCTTGAAGTTTTTACATAGCTTCCCCCGAGTCCTCAGTGGGCGAGTTGGAGCTGGGCCTTGTCTTGGCATTACATTACACGTGCGTCAGCTAAATGTGTCACTGATAAAACATCTGCATGGGGTAATCGAGCTATGTGTCTCCTTGTCTGCTGACCGCAGTGGACAGAAAGGGTGAGTCTGAAGAGTCTGGTGATGATGAGACCAAGAGGAAGAGTATCAATGGCAACGTGGACCCCAATCAGCCTGCAACCACAGGTAAGCATCACACATCCAGCAAAGGAGACACAAGTCAGCTTTAAACTAATGCAATCAATTATGTGACACAGAGTAATCATCAGTCTATCTGATGACAGCATTACATAACCATAAGTCTTCTCAAGCAGCCTTGTGTGACTATCGTGCTTGATGTAATGGTCACAGGGTTAGTAAAAAGTCTTGAAAGATTTGGAAAACACTTAATATCAACCGTTATATTTCCGAGGTTCGCGTTATGCTTGAATTTAATATTTGAATTTCAACATAATCTAGTGTTTGATTTATACAATCACCGATGTCAACAAAAAATATCTGAAAATATGTATTGTCTTCTGTGGATTTAAAGGAATTTGGAATACTTTGTTTCCCAAGTTGAATCTATAGTAACACTTTCTTTGTAATGAGTATGGATTTTTGGTTTATGTGAAAGTGCTTGAATTTGACTCTTTAAAACCCTGTGGTCATAGGAGTTAATGTGCTTTATTCTTGCTCTCAATAAAGGTAAAGAAGAGTCTCCTGTTGACATGGACACTATAACCTTGGACCCAGAGGAAGAGGTTAGAAGAGGGTCTAGAAAAAATGCTACTGTTTTTCTAGATTTTATTTGTAGAGCTTGAGAGTGAAAACACTACTATTACTACTTTTTACACAACAGTATGTCATGTCACCCTAATCTGTCTGCTTTCTTTCTAGGATGTTGATCTTGTTCATTGTCGTATCGGGAATATTGAAGGTTTGGAGGTCCTACAGAAGTGTAAAGTAAGTTACTTTAGTATGTATTGCCACTGTGTGAGTTGAAATATTTGTAGCAGCACTGTATGCAGATCTGGAGTAATTAATTTAATGTTCCTTTCTATATAAACCAGACAGGATTTTGTTCAAACCACAGGTTTTTCTTTCTTTTTTAATCATTTGAAGGATTTGTATTAAATACAGTTATTTAATGTGTCTGTTAATGGCTTTCTTTCCTTCTATCTCTTTCTACAGACACTCTCCTTAAGACAGAATCTTATTAAAAAGATAGAAAACCTCGACAGTTTGAGGTCTCTGCGGGAACTAGATCTCTACGACAATCAGATCCGCAAACTGGAGAACCTGCAAAACCTTACAGAGATTGAGTAAGTCTGAAGTAAACTACGTCTATTTTTCATGCTTATAATAGAGATTTGATGGCAAATCATAATCTTTACACACATTTTTACCTAATGGACATTTCCTGAGTTGTATTTTTGTGTATCTGACATTGAATAACACTCATCTCAGGTACATATTATTTCTAATGTTCATACTTCTTTGACTGTCCACAGTCAGCTTGACGTCTCCTTCAATATGTTGAGGAAGGTGGAGGGTTTGGAGCAGCTAACTCAGCTGAAGAAGCTTTTTCTGCTTCACAACAAAATTGGCAGCATTGCCAACCTGGACCACCTCACAGGCCTGGACATGCTGGAGCTGGGCTCCAATCGCATCCGGGTAAGACTGTTGGGCAGTGACATGTAAAATCGATATTACTCACATAAAAACGCAAATTACTTACATAATTTTCAAATAATTATGTTGCATTTATTTGTGTCACTTTAATGTGGTTGTGTTTCTCTTTCATTGTGTGTGTGTTTACAGATCTTAGAGAACCTGGATACACTTTCATCACTGCAGAGTTTGTTTCTTGGCACCAACAAAATAACTACCCTTCAGAATCTGGATGGTTTGCACAACCTGACAGTTTTAAGCATTCAGGTGATTCACAAATGATTATGTTATAAAAACATGTGTCAGTCCTTTTACAATAATGGAGTATGTAAGTAACATTGATTAATAATGTTGTGTACTTTTTTTGTTCAGAGTAACCGGATTACTAAAATTGAGGGCCTACAGAATCTTCTCAACCTGAGAGAGCTCTATCTGAGCCACAATGGCATTGAGGTCATTGAGGGATTGGAAAATAATGTGAGACATCCACAGCCTATTTCTAAAGCACTCAATGCAAAATCAGTCCATCATGCAGTTAGCTAACTGTGCTGCAAAGTTTTCTATGTACGTTTAAACACTGTTTGTTTCCCCTCACAGAAAAAGCTTACAACCCTGGACATCGCTGCCAACCGAGTAAAGAAAATTGAAAACATCAACCATCTGACAGACCTGCAGGAGTTCTGGGTACGGATAGTGTGCATAGTTAAACTAGAATGTATTTTAACTGTCTTTATTTGTTATATTTTGTATTTATTGCCCACAAGCGTAGTTATAGTTTTAAAGGTGAGGTAGGTAAGTTTGAGAAACCGGCTCGAGATACACTTTTTGTTATATTCCATGGAATGCTCTTAACATCCCGATAGCAATGAATATCTTAAGGGCTTTGACAAAAAATCCATAAAAAAATGTCATCTGTGGAAGCCGTAGTACTGTAAAAAGCACGACCAATCATTTTAGCCGGCCCGGCTAAAATAACTGGATGGCCTACCTGCCTGTCAGCCTTCCATCTGTGCACAAACTTATCTCGTGCCCTCATTGGTCATGTGCGCGTTTGTGTGTGTTGGAGGAGGGGCTCTGTAAGGAAGTAGCAGATTTCTTCCGGCTGTGTATTTTCAAATTCTAGTGCACTCGAGCTGGTTTCTCCAAAGTTACCTACCCCACCTTTAAAATAAATATATTAACAAACGCTTATCTCCGCTTGCAACTATGTAATAATGTTTTAAAGGTGTTACTAGGCAGTTTATAAAGTTATTGTCTCCACATCCTCCACACTGTATGTTGCAAGAGTGCTTAACATTTGTGTTTGAACTATCTTTGCAAGACAAAACTAATTATGTTATTGTCTTTCAATCCCTCCCCAGATGAACGATAATCAGATCGATAACTGGTCAGATCTCGATGAGTTGAAGAATGCCAAGTCTCTGGAGACGGTCTACCTTGAGAGAAACCCTGTACAGAAGGACCCACAGTACCGGCGGAAGATCATGCTGGCGCTGCCCAGTGTCCGCCAGATCGATGCTACCTTCATCCGCTTCTAAACTGCAGTGTAATTCACCTGCTGATTCACAGTGTTTTCCCCTAACCCCCCTGCCTTCCCGTCCCACAAAACAAACTTCCTTTTGAAACACGCTGGCCTCACAGAATCATATCGTTATTTCGTACAGAGACACACATTCCAGCATTCACCATCCCCCACGGCTCACGCAACATACATGTATGCATGTATGCACTCACTCACACCTTGATCTATGCTATTGTGTAAAAGCTTATTTATTTATTAAGCTGGATATGAACTGTGAAAAGGATTTTACCCTATGCCCATTTCATCATTTTTCCTCTTTTCATTTTACTTTTGTAGTTTTGCATGTGGGAGACAGTATGGAGACATTTTTCCTCAATCTTTCAGGGCCCATCAGGAAATAATATATCAGTTTCAGTTTTGTTTGATAGATCACATTTTTGAGGTTGCACTGCTATCATTTAAGAGGAAAGGGAGGCATTCTTACTGTTTGAGTAATTGTGTGAAAGTTAAGGTACACAGTAAATGAAAGAAGAACTAAACATTAAAGGGAAATTTAATAGTAAAATATGATTTACACATTTTAATCCTCCGAATACTGCTTATCTTATCTTTTGGCTTTATTTAAGCTTCAAGCTTTTCTGAGCAAGTAACTGAACGTTACAACCACAAAAATAACTAAAGGAAGAAACCTACAATGACACAATGCAGCCTTGTGTCTGTCTGCAACTGATGAATCATTTCAAAATAAACTGCTATCATTACTAATGAGGGGCAAATCTTGATGTCCAGCCACCTTGTCTATGCCTTGTCATTGTCCAGATATTTTACAGCCAATCTGATTAATAAGAGTGACCTCTGCATACAAAAACCTCATGAGAATGTAAAGATAATTAAATGTGTCCATGATGATGGTTCTGTAATCAGTGGTACATCAGCCCCCAATTTATTTATTTATTCTTTTTTTTTACCTTAAATACATCACTGATTATAGCTTGGGTTCTCTCTAGAAATACATCATTCATGACATTATTATGAACTGACAAAAGTAAAAAAAAAAGTGAAGTTACTTACTAACAGCAGGGATGGTCTTAAATAAGGGTTAACCAATGTAAGATAAATTCCTTTTTTTTTTTTTTTTTTTAAACATTTTGTTTAAAATGTTAAGATGTGTATAGACATTAGAGTGACACATTCAAGTTTCACATTTGGTCTCTTAATAAAAAATATATAATCTTGTATATTTATGTTGCCAAAAGACTAATCAAGCACTAGGATGAAAACCTATTTTGTCCCCAGTGTTTAAAAGCAGAGTGCACTAGATTTACTGTTGGGTTACAATCAAAAGGTGATATAAAAATGGTTTTCCACCTCAGGACTAAAAGGTAATGTCAGACACACAATTCTTAACGGAAAGAAAAGATGTGTAACATCAGCTACTGACCATAACCACAACAGGGTTATTATTGCATCTCCTTCTCTTTTAAAGGAATTGAAGATAAGAACAAAAATCCATTTAATCAACTATAGGATATTTATGATCTAAGACTAAACTGAAGAGGCCATTACTAATATGAATGTAATGTTATGTTATATTATATTCAGATTAATTATAATTTATTCACAATTGGCCAGTTGGATTGTGAATGTCACTGTCTGTTTGTAAATATAGTTCGCCCACAAGTGTAGAAATTCAGTGCCATCATAACTTTCCTTTTGTAAAGCAAAATGCTCTTTTTCTTTCTTGTTTTTGCCAGACAGCACAGCAGGTTTGCTTGAGTTTAAGTAATTAAGATAACTTAACCTTGACTGGTCTCTGAATGACCAAGTATTCGATTTGCTTTTAGCTGATTGTAGTCAGAACTGAGTCTTCAGGTTCTGGACTTGGTTAATGCTGTTTTCAAAATGAATGTATTATGCAAATAATAAAATGACACTACTTAAAGTGACATGCTGTTTTGATTTGGGAGGCTTTTTATTTGGTTTTTATCTTTAAAGACCTTCTAGCATGTTGTAGCAATTTTATTAACAACAAAGGAGTACAAACGTGATTTCAAAATTATTGGAAGTCTTCTTGGCCTTTTTGTTCTATGCATCTTCAATTAAGGTGCCAAACCAGCACATTTAGATTTATGGATTTGAAATTAGTAGTGAAAGGTTACTTAGTAGGCATACAATATGAGGTATTTTGACTTTACTTGAATATTTATACTCATATCTTAGTCGTATCTCAGTTATGCGTTTAGTCCATCCTTTTTTTAACAAAAATTTAACTTTTTGCTTCACTACATTTATTCTTTGAAACTTTGGTTACTTTGAAGATTTAGATAAGCACTTTATAAAATAAATAAACTAATAAGTTATGATTGTTAGGCTGGTTATGATATCCAACAATTATATAAATAATTTTAATTAGCCACATTTTACCTGCTGAAACATGAAAGTGATGTACAAATTAATCTATTAATAATTATAATCCCTATTCAAAGATTACTCTGGAATCGGGCATTTTGCATGATGAGAGATGAGAATTTGTTTTAGTAAACTGAATGATGAAAGCCCTCATCCTTCCCTCTAAAACTATTCTTATCAATTTGGGCTCTGAGAGGGTATTAAAGCATGTCTCAATGGCCTCTGTCTTGTAATTCTAACGATATCTTGAAACCTTGAGCGAACATCCAGTGCCGTATGAATATAAAATCATATATTATCAGAAAATGTAGGTAATATAATCACATTTCTTAATAAATAATTTAGCAAATGTTCTATAGTAACACGTCTTACTGATTATGTGCATACAAATCCAACCCTGACTACATAACCCACAATGCAGCACAATCCTATAGTGACGTAGCGGCCTCGCGCCGCGCCAGGCAGGGGAAAAGGACGGCGTCGCGCATGCGCCACATTTATGTTGTTGTTTGTGGCGGTAAGATGGCGGCGCTCGGAAACACCTCAGCTCCGGGGGTGAATGGGTTAATACAACAATTCACAGCAATAACAGGTAAAAATAACATTTTATTTTACGTTTGATCTATCAAGAAGGTTTTGGTTATCTAACAGGAACAGCCCCTTTGCCCAAAGAACCAGGAAATGAGTGCGGAGAGAAGAAAACGGCCGTTAAGTGTTGCCATGGCCCCTGCGCTGTCAATGCTGTGCAGAGAGGAAAAAGCACAGCCAGTTACCTGCTAAACTCAAGCGAAACACGCAGAAAAGGAAGCATAAAACCACCCGATTTTAATAATATCTCCCATGGTCACTTACAAGATATCTTTTTTTCTTTGTAGTGTTTTTTACAGACACTATTTCGCTAGCATAGAGCTGATGTTCTGTTCTTCTTTACTGCATGTTGTGTGATAATGTGGAATGGACGTCGCCTGTGCAACATTTCCCTTCTTCATCACCAGCCAGGCTTCACGTTGTGTTACTCTTCATCTCACTGTGATGCGAACCACACTCGTATAAGCTCATATGTCCATATGCGATTACTCGTTCACATTTCCTCAGTAGTTTATGTGTGCTTTGACCGGATGGACAGTGTTTTAGATTTAAGTTATTAATCGGGAAAGAGAGGGGACTCAGTTCGGGGGTTGGTGCTGCTACACTTGGAAAGTGAAACGGACATGCGCAGTAGTACACACGGAGAGATCAGTGCAGCCTAACGGTGCTGTTCACTTAAAAAAGTTACCCTCGGATCTAGTGTTTTCTCACATGCAAATACTTACATTGTTCTTTTCATTGTGTCGAATCATGATCTGGATACATTTAAGTACAATTCTGGTGTTTTTGTAGCCTATTGGTAGCCTACAATTGATGTAGCCCCACTTGAGCTATATCACTGCCTGCTATTTCCTAAAGATTACCATAGCTTTTGTTAAGACCGGATGCATATTTTTGCAACCTTTCAGGCAGTGGTTTGCCTTTCATTCATTGTGGTACAGTGTTTCGGTCAACTTGCAGATTTGTTGTTATGTCTTTATGAAGTTCTAATGTTGTTTAATTTCACAAGACCCCATAGTTGAAAAGCTTGAATTTGTATTTACACTGAAAAAGGACGTAATGTTCACAAAATCGATAAAAACCATGATTATCACATTAACAACGTGTTTAAAACGCTGGCTCAGTTGTGTGCACGTTTGCATTTGTCTCAATGAATGAATGCAAAAGAGTAGAGTAGGTTTATGTGATATGTAGTAAACTGGTTAAAAACATGCATACATAATCATGGTACTTTAAATACCATGGTATTATTTTGAATCGATTACTATACAACTAACTGTTGTCTGTATCGAACGAATTTTGATCACAATTCCTTAATAGTCAAATTACAGAATCTGAAACAAATATTGTAGCTTATAGTAAAAATAAATATGGGCCAATTAATACATCAGCATTTTTTTGTAAAAGGAATTGAATCGACGGGCCCTCTTAAAGGCAAACATTTTTTTAAACTGTTCCAATTTTATAAAGTAAGCAGTATTTTATTGATGTGGTTTCGGAAACAAGCGACAACATGCCAACATCAATAAAGTCCATATAGATTATTTCAATATGAGATATTCTACTGATGATCTACAGTCTTCCATCATGTATAATTTGTTCCATGACTCACATGGAGAGTGAGTTTTCACACACATGTATCATTACAGTGTTAGTCATAATGTTTTTTTTTTTACATCAGTAACCCTATGTCCGACTCTGCTTTAGGAGCAACAGAGAGTGTAGGACAACACATGTTGGAAGCATGCAACAACAACCTGGAGATGGCAGTGACCATGTTTCTGGACGGAGGCGCAATCGCGGAGGAGCCCAGCACCAGCTCCAGCTCAGCGGCTTCAAGCAGCAGAGCCCCCCCTTCAGAGTAAGCTGGGATTCTTCTTCACACACTTGTTGGATAAAAGTAAAACATTGTTTCTTGCCATTTTCGTAGTATCCCAAAGATACAGTCTGGTATTTTCATAGTGCTTTATAAATTCTCTCCTTGTTGAAATATGTTGTTAACCGTGAGCTGGGATGAGATTTTGGGTTTGGTAAACTGCTGTGATTTGTGTTACTGTTGGGTGATATAACAAACTAAGACTTTGTTTATAACTTGATATATACCAAATGTTTTGCTTTAGATTTCTTTGTTCCTTAGAATAATACGGTTTATTTTCCCTTTTGTTTCAGTGAAGTACGAGCACCTATTCCCCAGAAGCAGGACATATTAGTTGAACCTGAACCATTGTTTGGAGGTATTGTACTTTATCTGACCTAATGCATACATATGTCAAACTACATAGTTGTTTCTGGCTGAATGTGACTTATGATGTGTCTGTAATATCTGCAGTGCCAAAGCGAAGAAGACCTGCTCGATCTATATTTGATGGTTTCCGAGACTTCCAAACAGAAACAAGTAAGTCATTTCAAGCTTTTAGCAAACTTAAAGAGTTGTAAGTGAATGTGGTAACATTGGATTCTTGCTGAAGTAACAACCAATAAGATAATATGTCACATTTTCTCTTTGTTCAAACTTTTATAATTGTCTTTACCTCCTCTAATGTATTTTTGTTCTTTCCCAGTTCGGCAGGAACAGGAGCTGCGTAACGGTGGCACAGTGGATAAGAAACTGAGCACCCTGGCAGACCTTTTCCGTCCTCCAATTGAGCTCATGCACAAAGGCAGCTTTGAGACGGTGAGGAGTCACTCACCTGACATTTTAAATACACTTCTTTATTCAGTTTGTGTGAACTTTCTGTGAAATATCAGATGTGCTCTGACTGTGCAGATCACAGGTGGGAAACCAGGTCTGCCGTGCGTGCAAGGGCAGCTGTACGCAGAATGTGTTTTTATTTTTATTCATGATATAAATTAATTTACAGTCATCATTTTAGATAGCATTGGTATTTATGCGAGTAGAAGTGCGCATAGCATTGTGAAAACTTAAATTTGAGAATCATTTGCAGGATGTTTGACAGCCTGACTGTTCGAGAGGGTTTGTTTTATAACACTGGCTTTACATTTTTTTGCAATTTAATATAAGAAGTTTTTACAGTACTAAAGTACTGAACTAGTGAAGAGCGAACTGTTAGATGTGATAACATTAATCCCATTCAGTTCTCGGTCCACCTGATACAAAACCAGACCAAAATATATTTTGGACTTTGGCAGAAAAAAGTGAACCTTTCTGTAATTTATATTTCCTTTTGTATTTCCATCCATTCATCATTGAGGGTTGATTCTGATTTCAGCCACTTACTTTGACAGTCTTTTCCATGTTTTCCAATTTGCAATATTTGTGAAATCAGCTTTTATAAAGTTAAAAATGAAAACCTGCTTAACCACCAGACATGTGATCGTAATCCACCTGTCGATAGTTATGATTTCTTGACTATAAAGAGAAACAAATTAACTTATATAGTTATCTGTCTTTGTCTTGCCAAATTGAACAATCACATTGCTCACTAGTTGACTGATCAATGTGTGTTTTTTGTGCTTGCAGGCGAAGGACTGTGGACAGCTAGAGAACAAGTGGCTCATGATCAACATTCAAAATGTTCAGGACTTTGCCTGCCAATGCCTAAACAGAGACGTTTGGAGTAACGATGCAGTGAAGACTATCATCAGAGAGCATTTCATATTCTGGCAGGTGTGTAGTTTCAAATCACAGAGCCACATGTTGTCTGTGTGATGCTTTCATGTCCCTGCAAACTTTGTGTTGAGGTCTTTGCAAGGGTCCTTCTGCTAAAGTCATTTGAGTGGAAGGAAGAGTTGAACATGATTATTCATATGAGAAATGAATTAAGTCAGGGATACCAAAGTTGAGACTGTCGACAGTACAGCAACAGAAACGGTATGTGAAGCTGTGCTTCAACAGCAAACGCTTTTTAATACCCAGTGATGTTGTAGTAAGCACTTCTAGAGAAAGCCTAGCAATTACTGTAGAACATTCTTAATATCCTAATATTCACATATCTGTCACAAAATGAAGTATCTTATCTGTTGTGGTGTTCATGTATTGTTTTGTGCATTTTCTCTCACTACAGGTATATCATGATAGTGAAGAGGGACAAAGATATATCCAGTTCTATAAGCTGAACAAGTTTCCCTATATTTCCATCCTCGACCCCCGCACAGGTGAGTGTTCCTGGGAAGTTGATGCTTGTTTTCAACGACACCATTTGGCTGCTGTTTTTTGAGGAGAAGAAAATGTTTTTGCAAACACACCATTAAGGGCTGTACTGAAGGCCTTTTTTTATTTGATTTAAAAAAACAACAACAGAATAATGGTTTTTTTCAGCCCCAGCGGAAATGTTTACACCTACAAATATGGAGTGAAGCAGAACATTTGGTTAGATAAATACTTTAAAACTAATTTTGACTTCTGGAGTCAGTCACACATTTTATTTCTACAATTTGTATGACACTAATAATATAAGTGTAGCCTGGTTTATATTTGCAGCTGTGCAGAAATACAAGATTTAATCACAATGAATAAACATACAAAATAAAATAAAAACTTCACAGCATTCAAATAGTGATTTCTAAATTCATTTTCAAACTATCGGATCCAGCCCTATTTAGGAGACAACACAACAGCATAAGAACAATATCCTTTAATAATGGCGCATGACTGAGAAAGAGATCCTTGAATGATTAAGTGATGAGATCAATGCACACCAACAATGGCTTTCTCATTAAATAAATAATGAAGATAAATGCTCTGCATTGTCGTCTGTGTTACAATATAACAGTTCAATCAGTAGAGTGAGCAGACGTCTCGCCCCCGCTGTTCATATCTGACAAGTACTTTAAATCAATACAGCCTAACACACCGCCTTCTGCTGACTAAATGCTTTATAACTGATTTTATTATTGACCTATGCTTTCAAAACACATTCACTTCAGGTCAGAAAATGGTGGAGTGGAACCAGCTGGACGTGGCGTCGTTTCTGGAGCAGACGTCGGGCTTCCTGGCAGAGCACGGGCAGCTCGACGGGCCCTCCTGTCAGCCCCCCCCCCGCCAAACGGGCGCGCTCGGTGGGTTTCTCATCTCATGTGTCGCCTCTACCTCTGTTTATCCTTTCTGCTATAATAAGAGCTGCCTTCTCTCTCTCTGGGACTTTCTAGTAACATCAGAACTCACAATTACTATAAAATGTAGAGCTATTATCTGGGATGTGAGTTATTATACATTGGGGAAGACCTTCATTGTTTTCGGTTCCTTCTCCTAAGGGAGAAATTACATGCAAAAAATAACATTTTCCGTAAATGAATTACACTCTTCCATCTGCATGAAAAGATATCGTATTACTCATCATATTTTCTCGATAGAAACTTTATTGATCCCTAAATTGGAAATTATTTTGATACAGCAGCAGTGTGTTCAGGCATTAACATATTTAAAAGGTGGAATGAAGTATAAACATAATAAAATAAACCAATAAACGGCTAAATATAAACATATCTACATATCTATTTGCAATTTGTTCTTTTATTATCAGGTTTGGCCCATGCCACCATGTGTGGCCAAAAGTGTATCCGGTCAATAGGCTTGACCACAGTTTTTAGTTTTATGACTCGGCTCTTTGACTTGTTTTCTACAGCTGCATACATGTTTTCTGTTCCAGGAGAGTCTGATAGATGCCAGTGAAGACAGTCAGCTGGAGGCAGCGATCCGAGCCTCCCTACAGGAGACGCACTACGAGTCCGCGGATGCCCCGGAAGCCCCTGATTCCCCCAGATCCGAGGAGGAATCGGACGCAGAGCCTTTCTCTGACAGCGAGGGTCCCATCTCTGTCGACGGTTCAGACAGCGAGCTGCCAGCGCCCCATGAAGAAAAAAGTTTTACCAGCAAACACGCCTCGCTTCCTCCGGCCTCTGCGGCCCAGCAACGTCTACATCCCGATAGTTCCACCTCTTCCCATAGAAAGTCTACAAACAAAGAAAACAACCACAGTCACAAGAAGGAGGAGAGTAAAAAGAATCACCTGGAGCCTTCAGCTCCTCGTCATCCTCAGCCTGACGCAGACTCTGGAGGAAACCACTGTTCCCCGGCCGCAGAAAGCGCTGGACCTTCCAAAAGCAACACCACCGAAACCTGTGACGTGGACTGTCCTGACGACAATGGTACGACCACATGTTCAAAACGTCAAACTGTTCTTATAACAGTGAAAGAGCGAGGATGTTTGAAAGATATTAACCATCCTGTGTTTTTCTTTCACGTAGGTCCCAAAGCCAGGTTGATGCTCCGCTACCCGGATGGACAGAGGGAGCAAATTTCCTTGTCTTCTAAAGCAAAACTTTTGGTAAGAACAGACTATAATAACGCTATTTTAAAGAAATCCTTTTTTGGAAATACACTTTTTTACTTAAAATCTAGAATTGTTGCAATATCAAGTCTGTACACCAAGAATGCTGTGAGCCAAGAGGCGAAAACCTATATATGGAGGGGAAGAGAAGGTTAAAATATGTGCTTATTAGCACATTTTATTGCATCTGTTAAATATGTCTATTACATGTGAATTATTGTTAAGTCATGGTAAGTTACATTTTTTTAATTATTTGTATTACTATTTTTGGCTTTAAGCCTGTATAGAGTGGTGCAGTGACGCGTCCTAAAACCCGGAAGTAAGTTATCATTTTACCACTTCCGGTTCCTTCGACAAAAAAGCAATGCAATTTCTCCATAGGATTATGGAAAACAGCTGGAAATAAGGTCTGTGGTTGACACACATTTAAGAGACGGATCACGTTTTGTTCTACAACATTAAATACATCAGCAGTGACCCCACTGGTGATTTTTGAAGAGTTTACGTGTCTGAAAAACGATGGTTGTTAACAAGTGGCTGAATAGGACTACAGAAGTTGTCGAGACCGTTTTACGTCATTACACCGAACACGTAAACACTCCCGCTAAGTTTGTTTTTCCCCGTGTTCTGCTTGAAAGTGAGTACCTGCCTCCTGCAAACTGTTAAAACAAACGCTTCAACTTATACAATTTTGAATCTGTAGTTTTGAATATGGATCTTAAACTGGACCTATCATGCAAAATGCACTTTTGTACGTCTTTTATACATGAATATGTGTCCCCGGTGTTCCAGGGAACTCACCAAGTGTCAGAAAATACAACCCTCTCTCTTTTCCTCCGTACCCAAATCTTTTAAAAACGGGGCTACAACGAGCGGATACAGATTCCATCCGACCCGACGTCAGCCCGGAATAGTGGGCGATGACGCTCCGCCTACATGGGCAACGCTCCACCTATCAGGGGAATGAGAGGTTGCCGTGGCATGGTAACAGCATGGTAACAGCATGGTAACATGACGCTCGTGCCTCGCGCCCCTCCTTTGCAGGGCGGCGTGGTCAGCTGCAGCTCATTTGCCACAGAATCAGCCCGTGCAAAAACAGTGCTGGAATACAGCAAATAGAGCGAAATGAGGCATGGCTAAAATGCATGATCTGTTTGGTATTTTGAAAAAAAAACTTCACAGACATGTTTTATATAGGTATGGCCCTACAATATATTATTCAAATATAGCATGATAGGTCCACTTTAAGTTGGCGTGACGTTGAAGCAGCGACCCTGTAGTTAGTTTATAGCATAACGTTAGCATTTTGCTTCTGGCAACTAGACTAAATTATAAAAGTAGGGTAGACATGTGGAGATTATCCGGCTGAACAAAACGTGATCCGTCAACGTTAAATGTGTGTCAACCACAGACCTTATTTCAAGCTATTTTCCAAAATCCTATGGAGAAATTGCATTGCGTTTTTGTCGAAGGAACCGGAAGGAGTTTACTTCCGGGTTTTAGGAAGCGTCACTGTGGCACTCTATAAGAGCTAGTTCTAATTTCCCATGTTCTCATGCTAAACTAAGCTAACCGGCTTCTGTGTTCAACTTCATATTTACTTTACAGATGTGAGATGGCCATCTTTCTTGTCATCTAACTCTTGGCAAGAAAGTAAATAAGTGCATTTCCAAAAAATTCAAATTATTGCTTTAAAATGCCCATTTAACCAAAATAGTCGTGGAGGCGTGTGGCGCAGTAGATAGAGCCTTGGTATGGGGATCAGATGGTCACACGATCAAACCCCACTGCAGTCAACATGTCGTTGTGTCCCTGGGCAAGACACTTCACCCCAAATTGCTCCTGTGGGGATTGCCCACAGTATTGAGTATGTAAGTCGCTTTGGATAAAAGCGTCTAACAAGTAACATGTAATGTAATAGTCGCTGGTCGTCACTTGTACTCCAACAACAACAAAAAAGTGGTTTAGTTAGTATTTATTATGGCATTTTGAGTAATTTTCTCGACAACAGAGAGCGGGTTGTTCCATGTTGAGCTACTGTCAATCTGAATTTTGGCCGGGGGGCATTATTAGCATTATTGGCTACTGTAAAACCAGAGATTAATATCCGAGAAGTCCCTTCCTCGCTTTCTGTTTTTACAGGAAACTAATTAAGTAACTTTAAGTAAAATAAATGTGAGCCGTTCATCTATGCCCAGTGACCAGTGAATATTAAACATTTGTACTGACTCTTACTTTCCTCTTCCTCAAGGCGCTGGTAAGACACGTCCAGTCCAAAGGTTACCCTAATGAACGCTTCGAGCTTGTTACCAACTTTCCCAGAAGGAAGCTCGCCCACTTGGACTATGACATCACGCTGCAGGAGGCGGGGCTTTGTCCACAGGAGACTGTATTTGTTCAAGAGAGGAACTAGCCTTTGTCAGACACACACTCACTTTTTGCTTGTCTGTATCTCTCTGATAGACCTCACCCTTTCACCAATGACCTGGGACATTGACACCGGCCTATATCCAATAACCTTCAGTTCTCCTGGAATTAGGCTCTGTTTTTGCCAAGACATCTGAGTGGGCGGACAACTTTCCCTGCCACTCTAGTCTGAATACTGACGTCTCTACTGAAAGCCTATTCCCTTTGTAGTCATCTACAGTTGGCCAGTAAGGTGTCACGGATGCCGGCACTCATTTTTTTATGTGATTTATTCTTTTCTGATGCAGGCTTCATTTTGTTCCGAACATTGAGGCACATCAGGATAGAATATATATACAATAGCTCATATTTAAATAAAAAAAGCCTACTAGCGGATCACTGATTGATGATGACACACCACAGATTTGTACAAAAAGACTTTTACCTCCCAGAAAGGATGTTAAATGTCAGAGTTTATTTTCTTGCTCATCTTGTTATTGTCTGTACCGGGAACAGGTAAAGGAAGGCTCATTCTCGACTATTTGGACCTACATTTTGGTCAATGTTTGAATTATTGTAATTATTTGAAAGGCACTAAAAGAAAAGGTCCGTAAATCATAATTCAAGAAAACATTTCGGACATATTCGACACACTCGTGTAGATCTGAGGATTTGGGTTGATCTGCAGATTTTTACTCAAGTTTCTATCGGTTAATTAGAGACTATTCGATTTTTTTGGTTTCAACTTTTGATACAGAAGGGAATGAATGAAGGGTGGTACATCTCATCAGTCGGACCTACACTGTACAGAGATGGCTTAGAGAGACTGATATTTAGCTGTAGTCATTGTTTCCTTTCTTTTTTTATATGCTGCCAAGAAAATATGCTGATGTTGAAATATAACCACCAAAACAAAGGGAGATTCTGCTTGGTCTTTTGTCACATTTTGTATCCATTTTTATTTTTATCTTGATCTGATGAGAAAATAGGCATTGGTTACAAATATAGGAACAAAACTGGAAAGCAGCAACTCTTAAACAACTGCAACAACTTATAAAGCCAATTTAAAAAAGCCTTTCAGTGTACCTAGCTAACCCTAGTTTCCCTCTGACTTGATTTATTAAATGATATTAGTAAGGCACATTTAGCTACTTACATTAAATAATATATTCAAGACTGACTATGTTTATAAATTAAACAAACCATGAGTAGATCGTCTGGAGCTTATGATGCTTTTAAATAAGATACCATGTGTGCTTTATTGGGCTAAAATCTGGACAGTTGGTGGCAGTAAAGTGCCTTTAATGGCAACAAGTCTACATGCAATAAGGGTGAAAACGGTGTCAATTAAGGACAAAACAAAAATGTAAAAACGTCCCAGTTGTTGCAGTCGGTCCTAGGGAGTAGCGGTTTTCCTTTTTTATTCAACTTTTGTTGTTAGAAGTTTCTTTTTTACCAAGCACGAATGGAGTTGATGTGTGCTGCCAAGTCAGTTTAATCTCATCAGAACAAGGTTTGGTTAAAAGTGTTAGCTTGAACCTCATCAGAAGAATACTTTGCACATCTGTTTTCTGATACAGGTGTGTAGAGAGGAGTGGATCAAAAGCTGCGAATAAACTCACACGGTCTGTCCAGCTCACGAAAAAACAAGTGTTTATTTGCGTTGTTTTAGTGCTAGACCATGCTTATAGCCCACAATGCTTTACCTTAAATGGTGTTTAACCACTCATTTTATAGAAATCTACACATTAAAGGTAGGGTAGGTAAGTTTGAGAAACCGGCTCGAGATACACTTTTTGTTATATTCCATGGAATGCTCTTAACATCCCGATAGCAAAAATCCATAAAAAAAATTCATCTGTGGAAGCCGTAATACTGTAAAAAGCACGACCAATCATTTTAGCCGGCCCGGCTAAAATAACTGGATGGCCTACCTGCCTGTCAGCCTTCCACCTGTGCACAACCTTATCTCGTGCCCTCATTGGTCATGTGCACGTTTGTGTGTGTTGGAGGAGGGGCTCTGTAAGGAAGTGGCAGATTTTCTCCGGTTGTGTATTTTCAAATTCTAGCGATCTCGAGCCGGTTTCTCAAACTTACCTACCCTACCTTTAAATGTAAGTATTTTTGGGCACATTTTAAGATAACAATTTTTCTAACTTTACATATATGTCATCGCCTCCATAATACATGAGGGAACAGTAACAAGTTATTGGATGCAGACTTAAAGTAAGTCCCAAACTAAGATAGTTTCTAATTTATTCAAACCGTTGGCATGATGAAGGTCTAGCACTGAATAGGCGCCAATAAATGTATTTCTGCAGGCTAGACCGTAACAGCAGTTTGTATGCAGCTTGACTCACAGGCCCTCCAAGTTCACCGGCCATTTATACGATTTTTGCACACAAAAAATACAATTTGGATATGATGAATATAAGCAGAGGTTTAGTAACTACTACTAATATCAATGAGTTAAGTACTTGAGTATATCACTGTGATTCATACTGTAAATCACCTTCAAATATTTGAAGAAACAGGTCATTGGTTAACCTCTTGAAATCAGTGTTTTTTATTCCCCTTTGAATAAGGGCCCCAACTGATAATGGTCACAGTGACTGTACAGGGCAATGGTCAGAGGTGAGAGGAAAGGTCCTGCAGCTGGACCAACCATGTGTCACTCTCCTCGCTCTGTGGACACTAAAAGAACGTGAAGGGCCTTTTTTGTGTTCAACGGACCAAAGCAGTGTGGGGGGGAAATGTTGGCAAAGGGCAGCACTGAAAAAGTACTGAACCCTTTACCCCTTAACCTTGTAAACACACCAACATGTAATATTTGCTCTGATCAACTTCCTCAAACACAGAAAAAACGATATATCTCGGTTTTCTTTGCAGGAAGGCATCGTGAATTAACAAAACTACAAGTAAAGATCTCGTCTTTGAGTTGGTGAACTATCTTCTTGGCTTCGGATAGATAGCATTGTGAAACTTGTTTTCATGTTTTGCTGATTTTGGTGCTCTTGGGTTATAAAAACATTTCCAAACCCAGCTGGAAAAATACAAAAAAACTAAGAAAGCAAGCCTGGTCTACTTTCCTGCGAGGGAGGTTGAAATGTGTCTGCCTAACAGTGATGATCTGCTGGATTCAACTTGAATACCTATATTCATCAGGGCTTAAACGTTGATGAGGTAACTAGGTCGGCGGCCCCTCACGACCTGCCGTGTTTTAGGTTTTGTCCATTGCATAAGAAGGATGTTGACCCCAGTCGTCCAGGGACCGGCCAGCTAGTTCTAAGAAAGAAGTCAATCAAAGTTAATGTGTTACGTTTGTGGCTGGGAGATTTGAATCACCAGACAAGACTGATAAAATGTGTTTGCAGTCTTCCAAATTCTTCAAAAAAACATCTGGATGTTACTAAGAATGAAATTAGATTACTTTTGTACTCAAAATCAGATGCATTGTGATCAAACAAAGTCAAAGAATAGATAAGTTGAATACATGTAACCCTCCTCAAGCATCAATCTGGAGGCAAACTGCCCTTAGGAACACATTTGAGGTACTTGTAGAAATTCCACTTTAAGGACCTTTATTCTTCTACTTGGAAACTAAAATGACATTTATTTGACACCCATAGCTTCTTGTTACTTGCAGATTACATTTAATTATACAGGTGATGAGGTTTTTGTGAGCTCTTCCTCCAAAGAAAGACCCGTACACTTCCCAGATTGTTTAATTTTAATTAATTAATTTGTTCAAAATAACTTTGAGGCTAAAATAGGTGCAACTATCTCATCGTATTTCATAAAAATAACATTTTCTACACAACCACTACCTACATTTTTAGGATCATTTTTGTGATACTCCTTCTGTAGCCTACCTTAAATTAAATACCATTTTGAATGCAGGACCTTCCTTTTTATTAATTGTGGTATTGGTACTTTTACTGAAGGAAAGTATCTGAGTACTTCCACCTCTGGTAAAAGCTTACCATTGCTGTCATTGTAAATAACATCTTCACATCATGAACAACTGGGAGCAGCAGTGTCTCTGTTTCCTGATTAACCAGCCAGATTAAACTATTTTGGAAGCGCTGATTAAGAGTGTTATCATTATATGGGAGTATCAAGGTGAAACATCACCGGATGACACAATGTCCCTTACACTCATACCCACATTTTACATCTGGTTATCCCAAGTTGCTTCAGAAAATGTTATCGGAGCCCTGCACGTAAAACGTAACAACGTAAAAGGTGATGCTGTGTATATTGCAAGATGTAAAAGCAGAGTGCATGCTAACAGAAAGCTTACGATGAAAACATTTACTTGAGGCTTGCTCGCTCACACAGAGCCCTTCATCACTAACTGAGAGAGTCTGTGTGTAATGTCCAACCTATAATGCCCTGTTAACCCTCTGCTCTGCATGTTTAGAAGAACTATCATTGATAATAAGCTTATCTGCTCACAGTGAGGACGTCCTCGAGGCTGTAATCACTGTCTGACAGTGGTCAGTCACAAGATTCCCAGAGGTCCTCAGGAAGCTGTGTCATAAAACTTCATAAAATATAAGAGTCTACTTATAGCCCTGAAGAAAACGTATCAATGTTTACTACAACAAATATTTGTTTGTCTGACCGGTAGCATGCAGGGAATGTGAAGCTGTGCATGAGTATAGGACAGTAATGCTTTTGGCTTGCTGTGGCTGTGTTATCAAGAGGTGTGATTACAGTTATGGTGCTGAAGTGTCAACACAGATTGACAGAGCACAGCCATCTGCCTCAGGGATAAGGATTTAAATCCAGACTCACGGAAGATAATGAGAGACAAAAACTCTCAGCAGTCAAAGCGCCAAAATAACGTAAAGGCAGATATTAAAAGCAAAGCACGAAAGATCAAAAACTGGGCTGAAGATGTATGGAAATGATCAGGCACAAAGCAAATAAAATAAAATAAAGATAAATAAATAATAAAATGGCAATCAACAAAGCACAGTAAGAAAGAAAATAATCAAATCTATTTATATGTTATCAACAAATAACATCATCCGCATAACGCAATTAGAATACAAAAAATAAGTAACTATAATTAGCCAAGATCACATTTTGCAAAAAAATGGGTTTCAGATGCATCGTCAAGCATTATTGAAGAAAAAAAAGCTTTTATAATAACCAATCCTGTTACCCTGTGTAATTTAAATATGAATTATGTATATTATATTAAACAATAGCCCCTTGAGCACATCTTTTCCAAAGTTGTGGCTTTTCTGTTACAGGAGCTATGTCCACCATGTGGCTTTTAATTTAAAAAAACATAAAAGAAACAACATCCCTCAAGTTTTACACTTCACACATTACTCCAGTTGTTTGAGACAGAAATGCTTTGTGGATTACAGTACGTGACGGATTTATTTATTTATTTGTATTTCATTTTCAGTATCTGATTACATTTCAAATTAATCCAAATCTGCACAGGAATCTGAGAAATCATGACATCAAAAATCTCTTTTCAGGTATAATGTGCAGTACAGTCACTCCTTTGATATCCTCTTTTAACAGTCTACGTGCCTAAATTAACTCATGTGATACAATAGTGTGGACAGAAGGTTTATGTATGCACAGGGCCAGGTTTATCTTGAGGACGAGGGTGGAAACAAGGACTTAAGGGACGTGGTATAGGGTGACAGTCAGGTCAGTGTTACATAGCCTATGATTCAGCATATAGGCCAATTTGAGGAACATCTGGGCACCTGATCAACATTCAATTATGCAATATAGATTAATTTGTTATAGTATAAAACGTTCTGTGTTGTGTTTTTTAACATTTCTATTTTGCTGGGCAAGTGTTTTGCTATCACTTCGTAGCTTAAAACTATGCCAAACATATCCATCTTCCTATCTAAACTAAAGGTTTAAAGAATATATGCCTAAATCCATGAGTGGAAATGTAATCTATGCACTCGTCCAGTATTGGATCTTCTAAAGTTTCACCATCCCGGCATAAAACAATAAATCTATTTAGGTTATTGGGTGATTTTTCAATATTTGCCAGATGGGACCAAAAAGGGAGGTGTAGCTCAACAGGAACCTTTGATCTTGTGTTGTGTAACATTGACTCTGTAAACACGACTCTTAAAGTATGTGGGTCACACTGCAGCTTAAATGGTCATTTAAAAAAACTTTTGCCTTTTTACTTCTGATGCTAACTGATGTGAGTCCCATGGTCCCCTGAAGTGGCTGAATTACTTTAAATATAGTGTATATATTCAGGTTTACAATACATGTCCTATTCTTCATAAAGCAGGAGGCTATGACACCCACAGCCAATTACTAAGAACATCTATTTAGGAGGTCTTTTTAGGTTTTAGTTTTGAGGTTATCTAATAATTTCCATGCAACTGTATACTTCTATCCCAATACTGAAAATACTTTTGGCGTAGTATTATTCATGGCTAAAATGTCATCAATATTATAAACAATTGTAAAGGTTAGCTCCACAATGACCAACTACAGGAGTTTAATGCAGCTCACACATTTATGATATTATTAGAATTAAACAATATGAGGATTTTACTTCTAATGGATTATTTTTACTTTACTTCATGCACTGGTTAATACTGCTTATAATACTAATACATAAATATAACGCTAATTTTGTTCTGCATTAGATAAATGGTAATGTTTTTCAGTCTTAATCAGTTCACTTTACTTAGCTTACTTTACTTATTTTCTCATGTATTTATATGTAAGGACCTACAATCTTTAAAGCCTGGTTAAGCCAGTCTTTATCGATTGATTATTCAAAAAATCAGTCAATGTATTTGTCCTCAAAGGGCAACTAGAAAGGCAACCAAATAGAGTTGGAATAATCCCCAAAGCACATCCAGATTAAAGTATTGACATTAAAATAGTTACATAATAGCAATACAAATAGGGGGATCTGTGGATTTCCATTATGTGGAAATGTTGGAAATGTAACCCCTCTGTTTTCTCGTAGCAGCAAACTAAAGTACAAACACTCACGCGCCCATGCACGTACACATTAGGAAACCTGAGCAAACTTTTTTTCAGCCGATCAGAGGTTTGCTATAAAAGCCCCGGCTGCCTCATGCACTCTCTGCTCTTCTGACCTGAGACTCAACATGCAGACTCTCCTCCTTGTGGCGCTGCTCGGATCCCTGGGTAAAAAACATTTCATATTCATGCACAGGCATCGTTTAATCACAGATTTACCTAAAGCTCAATGATTCTGCATTGCTATTTATTTACCCGTGTATTTGCAGCCGCTGTGTTCGCGGCCCCCGCAGCCAAGGTGAAATGGTGCGTAAAGTCGGTCAAAGAGATGGAAAAATGCGTCGCCCTCGCAGCCATAGCTCCTGCTTTCACCTGCGTGCTGAGAGCCAACACCCTCGAGTGCATCATAGCCATTAAGGTGAGGAGAGTGACCAGTGGTGTAAAGTAACTAAGTACATTTACTCAATAGGCTACTTGAGAATTTCAATATTTTGCTACTTTGTACTTCTTCCTCACTACAATTCAGAATTAAAATCGTGTACCTTTACTCCACTTCATCTATTTAATATATTTAGTTACTTAAACAACACTTAAATAGTTACCCTTACAAAGTAAATAAAAGTAGCTGCACCTTTACCAGCTTTGATAATATAATTAAAACACATCATAAATTATTCTGGAATGGGACAATTTGCATAATACATACTTTTACTTTCGGTACTTGACGCATATTTTTTTATGCCAATACTTTTGTACTTTTATTGAATAACATTCTGAATGACTTTTACTTGTAAAAAGGTATTTCTACACTCTGGTACTTTTATTTAAGTACACGATCTGAGTACTCCTCCCACCTCTGAGACTGATATACCCAGGGAATGCATACAGTTAATGAGATGTGCTCCATAAGGAATCACATCAAAAATATTCTTCAAAACGTTGTCTTCACTTTGATTTTATATTTCAGCCAATGAAAATGGCTAATAAATGGCGAAAAGTGATGATTTAACAATTAAAAGAGGAAGGACCATCTCCTTTTTTGAAAGTAGCAACAGCACAATGTGAATATTTTTAATAATATTTACAGGAAAGCTTGTCTACAGAAAATATCAACAGCCAAATATTCCTTAAGTATCTATAGTATAGTAGGCTACACAGGATTTCCATTAATCATACTATTATTTATGAAATGTGTTAACACAGTTTTATTCTTTTAGCTGGTCAATATAGAGCAACTTTACATACTGTTGAGTAATTGTCATCGATAACATTGCATCATATCTAGTAAAATACATAATCTCAACCTGGAAATCCACTGCAGTAATGCTAGCTGTGAAGTAAAAATAACAATATTTTCATATTCATTTAGTATTAAATGGAAGTTCTCAAGTATAGTGCAAGTATTGTTGAAAATAAGAAAAACTGTTTTTGAACAACTGCATTTAGTTACACACAAGTTATGCAATATAACCATTGATCACATGTGTGTGAGCTGTTGGTGCAGGTTGGTAATAAATGGTGCTTTAAAACAGGCTGGTGAGGCAGATGCCATCACTTTGGACGGAGGGGACATCTACACCGCTGGACTGAACAACTACAACCTGGAGCCCATTATTGCTGAGGACTACGGTACCTGTAAGTAAACATATCAGCCGTCTTTATTGATGAAATTCTCTGATGTATTAAATACGTGTTTTTACTTTTTGCTCACATTTGTTCTGCACTCATCCAGCTTCGGACACATGCTACTACGCTGTTGCTGTGGTGAAGAAGGGCACTGCATTTGACATCAAAGGGCTCCAGGGGAAGAAATCCTGCCACACTGGTGTGGGTAAATCTGCAGGCTGGAACATCCCCGTGGGCACTCTGTTGTCCTTGAACTTAATGCAGTGGTCAGGCATTGAAGACACCCCTGTGGAAGACGGTGAGTAACACTGAATCTTACGACAATCCAAAAAACAGAATCAATATGTCACTATGATTATGTCCTCAGTATTTCTTCTTTGGAATTTGTGTAATTTTAGATCCCTGCAACCTCATTTATTGTAAAGTTCTTCAAGTTTACTGTGGCAGTTTTCAAATGTGGTTAATGTTGGACATTCAAACTAAATGCAACAAAACCACATGCTTCTGTTTAGTAAATGTTATGGTTTGACTGTAAAAGAAAAGGACATTTGTTATGTTATTTAAATTATAGACGGAAATCAGAAAAGTGAACATTGACATTTGGTTTTGCGAAGGCATTTGTGCAAAACAAACTTTGTCCAGGAGAAAATAATTGTTTCTCAAAACGTACCTGAAAAGGCCGTTTTAAAATTGTTAGGAGACCAGGATCAATCTTTATACAACACTCAGTAAGAAGCATATTTCCAAAAATATTAAACATAGTTTTATAGGCTTATTTATACAATTATTTGTATGCCCAATGTGTTTAATGTGACTATTTTAGGGCAACACAAACATAATATAATATTTGAAGCAGCTCCATCGTGTAAAGAACTCAGAACAGTATTTCTAAAATCTCTTTTTGTACACAGCGGTGAGCAACTTCTTCTCCGCCAGCTGTGCCCCAGGGTCAGCGCGTGGCAGCAAACTGTGCGAGCTGTGCACTGGAGACTGCTCCATGTCCCCCAACGAGCCTTACTACGACTACGAGGGAGCCTTCCAGTCAGTATCTCCTCTACACGGTTAACTTTCAATATGATCACAGCTCCATCCTGGAGCACTTTTGTTTAATGGACCTGTTGATTTGTATAGGTGTCTAAAGGACGGCGCTGGAGATGTGGCTTTTGTGAAGCATCTTACTGTCCCTGGTCAGTGTCACATTTTAATTTATTATTATTATTATTATTATTTAATTGACTTATATATTAATGTTAGCCAAGCTTATTTGTTTAAAATATGTTTTTTACAAATTGTAATTATGTAATCAGTAATTTTTCTAAATGAAGCTTTAATCACGTACTCATATGAGAATTAGTTTTACTGTTAAATGACGCTTGGATTTAAAACCATGGCTAAGATTCTCACTCTTGGTCATAATTGCCATAACTGATATCATATTTGTGGGATTTGACCAATAAAATGAACAGAACTTGATAGGTGGTAATGTGGTAGGGTAAGACTCTTATTTCTGACTGACTGTAGGAGTGATATTTATAATTGTTGTATCACACTTTCAGATTCCGAAAAGCCACACTACGAGCTGCTGTGCAAGGATGGCACCAGAGCGGCTATTGACGACTACAGGACCTGTCATCTGGCCAAAGCACCGGCTCATGCAGTTGTCAGCCGCAAGGACGCGCAGCTTGCTGACTTAATCTGGAATAGCCTCAACTCCTCAGCACAGGTATGACACAAAAGATCTGTACTGCACAAAGATCGAGAAGTAAAGTTGAATAAGTGAGGAGATGGAGAAATACAGTAAATCAGGACATAAAATGACTGATTTAAACATGTTACTTTTAAACCTTTCAGGACTTTCCACTCTTCTCTTCTGCACCTTCCAAAAACCTGATGTTCAAGGACTCAACAGTCAGGCTGGTGAGGGTGCCTGCAAACACAGACTCCTTCCTGTATCTGGGTGCTGAATACATGAGCATTGTCCACCCCCTTAAGAATGGTACTGTTAACACACAGATAGAACACAACTATAGACATAACAGGAAAAAAAAACACGAAATTTCCACTGGTTAATTTTAAGAATGTAGGCTATTTTACTTCTTTATATTGTTAGACTAGTGGATAGAAATCATTCAAATTAAACATGAAGGTGTTTATTTTACTAATCTTTTTGTATCTGAAGATTTAATTTCTAAATGTACCAAAAGTTAGCCTTAGATAATTCCTCATAATTTTGCACATTTAAATATTTATGAAAACTCATAAAATGTAAGTAATCTACTGAAGAAATGTCATGTTTATACTCATTTAAACCTTGTACCATATTCACCTGTCATGTCTCTCCCAGAACATACAAACCATCATTCAAACACACTTATTTAATGGCAGACACTGACTCTTGTTACGTAACCTTCCAGTGCAAGCAAGCTCTGCTTCCCCCGCCATTAAATGGTGCGCTGTGGGCCACGCTGAGACCGCAAAGTGTGACGCGTGGAGCATCGCCAGTTCGGGTGATGCAGATGTCACCACCACCATTGAATGCCAGACTGGCGCCTCAGTTGAAGACTGCATTAAAAAGATTATGGTAAGACTCTTGATGATGAAAATGTTGGAATATCTTGAGATTTAGTTTTGATTCAGTGGTGTTTTATTCTGATTATATATTTTACCCTGTAGACTAAAGATGCTGATGCGATGGCAGTGGATGGAGGTCAGGTGTACACAGCGGGAAAGTGTGGCCTGCTGCCAGCTATGGTGGAGCAGTATAATGCAGGTATGAGGCCTACATAGAAACCATCCCATACAATCCTGTGTTTGAACTGTTACACATGAATAATATTTGGATCTCTGTCTCTCTCCACAGATTTGTGCAGCAACCCTGGAGGTAAAATGAAATGTTTAAATATTGATAAGTATATTTGATAACAAAATAACATACATTTACCTGGTACTTTTAAAGCATCTTGAACCATAAAGATTAGGAGTGTGTGATCAAATGCAGCCTTGAGGACCAAAACATGGTTTTAATGTCACAATATTACAATACCTGTTAGTTTGCATTTAATACTCAAATTTCTAATAATCATGACATTTCTTGGATTGAGCTGTTGTTTGATTCTACAAATAAAAAAATACAAGTTTTTAAAAGAGAAGCCCCATTAGATTTTAATGAAATATGAATGTATTGTTGTAAAAGTTATTCTCCATCTATCTTTGTTTTATTTCCTTGATTAACCGTGAATTATAATTGATTGATTATAATTCAATAATTCAAAAGTTTTCACTCTGTACACTTCAAGTGAAAACTTTTTGTTTTCTTAAATAACACTTTGTGGAAATTATTAGGAAATGACAGAGCAGATGATCTTTCAAATTGAATTATCTATAACTACAAATGATCTGGCACAAAACATTTGTAATTCGAGTCCTTCTGTACTCCCACTCTTGCAGACAAATCCTCTTACTATGCTGTTGCTGTGGTAAAGAGGAGTTCAGGTCTGACTTGGGACACGTTGCGTGGCCACAAGTCTTGCCACACGGGACTCGGCAGAACTGCTGGCTGGAACGTCCCCATGGGTCTAATCTACAGTCAGACTCAAGACTGTGACTTCAGTAAGTGACCGTGTGCTCTTCCATGTGCAAATACGTAACGAAAGACATGTAAAGCTGCCAAGATTATGTTTGTGATCATTAATATAAATACTTTTTTTATTGAATGCGCAGTATTTACAAAGTTGTAGGAACTAAACATATTTTTTTAGTACGTTTTTAGTACGTTTAGACAACTCAAAGCGCTTGGTTAAGTTAAGGCTAAGACTATTTATACTATTTTTCACACAGACAACACTGTTTGGATCTCTGAGATGTAAGATCCAAATAACAGCAATTACAGCTCATCACCATGGATGTGACAAAAGAAACCAAACAGATCATTTAGGTTTTCAAAGTTCTGTGTTTTTGCATACCCAACATCCACTTCGACCACCCTCATACGACCTAGAAAAAATGTAAATGATCCAAGACAAAAAAAAACATTCTCAGGGAACACAATTAACACAATAACGTTTCCTCCAAAATCATGCACTAGAAATGCAGGTTTTAGGACACATGATTTGCTTCCTTCCCTCCTCTGAGTGTAACACCTGCCCCCTTTGTCTCGTCCTCTCCTCAGCCAAGTTCTTCAGCAGCGGCTGTGCCCCCGGATCAGAACCCGGCTCTCCGTTCTGTCATCAGTGTGTCGGCAGTAGAAGAGCGGTGGGAGATGAGTCAAAGTGCAAAGCCAGTGCTGCTGAGCAGTACTACGGCTACGCAGGAGCATTTAGGTAGGACAAAGGACAGTGGGCATTCATCCACTCAGCTCTTTTTTTGCAGTTTCAACGCTGGTAGCCAAGAAATAGCACAAACTCCTCCTAAGACCCCAAAACTGTAGTTTTTACACATTTGTTTATGTATGGCTTAAAAACTGAAGATATTTGTTATTCATGAATTCACTTTTTTTGCTGCTAATAATACAATTGTATTCACTTTTCAAGAGAGCCAGGCTAGCTGTCTCCCCATACGTTATTCTTTACGCTAAGCTAAGCTAACTGCCTCCTGACTTTAGCCCTTTACTTAACATTCAGGGGTATCAATCTTCTGGTCTAATAAAGCAAATAAAGGTATTTCCATGGTATTTACTTTCTATTCCAGAGCACCTCATCTTTGTGTTGTTATGTTTTGCATCTCATTATAGGTGTTTGGTTGAGGGTGCAGGGGATGTTGCTTTCATCAAACACACAATTGTTCCAGAAAACAGCAATGGTGAGAGACTGACACTTACCTCTCTTAATCTCAGCTATGAATGTGTTATTTATATAAACTTAAAACATCCTCCACCTCTTCTTGTCAAAGGCAACGGTCCAGCATGGGCTAGTGGAGTAATCGCTAATGACTACCTGCTGATCTGCCCTGGGCAGCCTGCTCCAGTGGAAATCTCCGAGTACGCCTTGTGTAACCTGGCTGCTGTGCCCGCCCACGCTGTGGTGACGCGTCCGGGGACCCACGGCAAGGTTGTTCAAATCCTTAAGCAACAGCAGGTCAGTGATGATTTTTTAGGTCATGAGGCATAAGATAAAGAAAAAAACATGCATTTTTTCTAACTTTCAACAGCATTGTTTTAACTCTAAACCCGGGTAAAATTCTGGCCTTGTAAATAGGTCTGTTTCTAAATCTTTGTTTTTGTTTACAGGCCCAGTTTGGTAGCAGTGTCAGTGATGCCATATTCAGGATGTTCCAGTCAGATTCAGGGAAAAACCTCCTCTTCAAGGACTCCACCAAATGTCTCCAGGAGATTCCTGAAGGAACAAGTTATGAAACCTTTTTGGGAGCAAAGTACATGACTACCATTAATGCTCTCAGAAAGTGCAGTGAAACCACTCCAGGTTAGTACTATCGTTGGTCAAAACAGGACACAAAAGATAACTTTTAACATTGTATTTTTGTATCTTAGAAATATCACACTACATATTTGCATCTGCTCGGCATACTCAAGTCAGTTTTTGTATTTTTTTTTTCCTCAACAGATCTGGAGAAATCTTGCACTTTCCATCCCTGCCAGCAAAAAAACTAGTGGCAACCACGGACCAAGAGGTGCCTTCAGTGATACGGGCACCTCCCTTCCCACACTCAACCCCCAAATTGCCTTTTGTATTTTCTTACTGATCTTGCTGTAGACCGATTTTTTAAAAGTATAACCAATAATTGCACTACCACAACTTACAGATCAACTTTCATGTAAACAATCACTACCACATCTAGCTTTTTGCATGCTGGTGTAACATAATGTTACATTACCTTTGTTATTGGATCCACTATGTTATGTTAATGTGCCTGACTTTTCATTAAAAGCCTTTTAATGTTCTTTTGTGGTGACAGTGTGTTGTTTTTTGGATTAATGCCCTGTCTAAGCATTCATATTAAGTGTCATTAAAAAGTACACAGTAGTATCGTAGTGAAAAGGGACAATGTTTTTTGTCCCCCAATTCGCTTCGTGTGCCAGAAACAGTCTGGAATAAACCGATTTATTGGCTGTAATCTGTAACTTTAGAGCTTTGTTGTAAAACACAGCTGGAGTCTTAAAGGTCTTAAAAGTGCATGGACTTGATTAACATTCTAACTGGTTATTATAAAAGTAGTACATTGTTATGAAAAGAGATGCACCACAACATTTCTTCCAACCAAATAATCACAACATATAATCTAATTAAACAAAGGAAAGTCACCTTCAGCTGCATTTCCACGTAGAGAAACATTTACATATTTTTGGATTGGGGGTTCTGCTTGAGTGCTTTTGGGGGGACTCTGAAAAGCCTCAAAATGTCAAAAAATGCTGTCGTCGACAGACAGAAAATGCTATTTCACTGAGGGAGGTTTCAGACATGAGACATCTGATTCATTTTATCAACTTAGGAAATAGACAAACACAATTTCATTGACTGTAGCTGTTTGCCTGGCCAAATAAGCACACAATGAGGCCCCGTGGTAAACATGAACTTTGAGTCCTTATTTACCTGCCGTTTGTGGTATCCAACTCAAATTGACTTAATGAAATATGCAACTTTTAAATGTGGACACAGGGCCCCTCTACAAATGATCTTGTCCATGCAGGTTATAATGGGCATTTATTATTTCAGGTAATATTATGTTGAGCACATTCTCAAACACATCTGCTGAAAATGTTTTATCACAAATGTTTTTGGGGCTTTTTGCCTTAATTTTGGTACAGCAAGAGATAGACAAGAAAGGTAGCACAGGGCTATTGATCCACGTTTTAATAAGCATTTCAGTCATTTTTAACTTGAATGAAAATTGTTCCAGCTTCTTGAACATGGGAAGTTGGTGTTTTTCAAAAAAGGTGATAGTTAACTTAAAGGGGACCTATCATGCAAAATGCACTTTTGTACGTCTTTTATACATGAATATGTGTCCCCGGTGTTCCAGGGAACTCACCAAGTGTCAGAAAACACAACCCTCTCTATTTTCCTGCCTACCCAAATCTCTAAAAAAGGGGCTGCAACGGATCTGATAAAAACTGATCCAGATTTGAACACTGTCCTGACGTCAGGACAGTGGCGCTACGGCTATTGGGCCAACTCCACCGATCAGGAGGATTGCCGTTCGAAAGCGCTGGAGACGTTGTAGTACATATGCCAGGCCTGTAGGTGGTGCTGTTTTCACAGAATCAGCCCTTGCAAAAACAGGGGTAAAAAAGTGCAAATTGAGCGAAATGAGGCATGGCTAAAATGCATGATCTGTTTGGTATTTTGAAAAAAAAAAGTATAAATATTAGGGCTGTCAAGTTAACGCGTTAATAACGCGTTAACGCAAAAAAAAATTAACGCCACTAATTATTTTAACGCGATTAACGCATGTGTATTTTTTGTCCTCGGCCGCCCCGTAGTTTCAGAGCGCATCGAGTTTAAAATACCATCTACAAGCTGATGCTGACAGCCCGCTCCTGCCGCCCGCTTGTGGCAGACCACACTTCCACGCTCACCGGCAGGCCCGGACTGGCCATCGGGAGGACCGGGAGGGAGTGTGTATGTGTGGCGCGACTCGCGCGAGCGAGGCACACCTTACGTGTTGTTGTTGTTAGCATCTGGTGCTAGCTAGCTGCGCTAACGGATATAAGGAGCTGTTTCAATGACATTTCGCCGACAACTGCGCCGAGCACTTGACTTTATGCAGGTAGCCAGACAGTGGGACATTGTACGAGAAGTCAGCGCACTCAGCACGGATAGTACGCGCTACATGATTGCAGCGTCCAGGCAGCACACGTTCGAGCATATATGCCTTGAGCGGCACATAGCTCCAACGATCCATCAGTGTCTCCACATTCTCACACACACACATTCTCACACACACACACACACACACACACACACACACACACACACACACACACACACACACACACACACACACACACACACACACACACACACACACACACACACACACACACAGTATTATTGTATGAGAGAGGTTCCAGGTTGAATTGAGGCGAATATTTGTAATGTTCAGAGGTTGTTGTGTTTAATATTCATGAGAATATTTGTCATTGTTCAAATGATAATAAACAAACATATAAAGCATATTTGTCCACTCATATGTTGATAAGAGTATTAAAAACTTGAAAAATATCCCTCTAAGGTACATTTAGAACAGATAAAAAATGTGCGATTAATTTGCGATTAATCGCGATTAACTATGGACAATCATGCGATTAATCGCGATTAAATATTTTAATCGACTGACAGCCCTAATAAATATGCCTTATATAGGTATGGTCCTACACTATATTATTATAATATAGCATGATAGGTCCACTTTAAGTAGTTATACTGAAAATGATTCCCTTTCCATAAGCCACAGGTAAAAATGAGCTGTCCTTAGGTAAAAAAAAGAATACAACATTTTCATAATGGGGCATTTCACTGGCTAAATCATACTTAACTATAAAAAGGACATGCTTAAGCACTCATGTTATTCAATAACAGTATGGGAAAAACATAGTAAATAAATTAGAATTTCCATTTTATGTTACTTTATAAATAATAATAACCCATTGCATTTATTTTAGGGCTTTTACAAGTGCTCAACGTGCTTTACATTATTACATATCAGACATGTAATACATCAATACTGTTGACCCAGATTACCCACAGGAGCAATTTAGGGTGAAGTGTCTTGCCCAAGGACACAACGGCAAGACACTACACCCTAAACTGCGTCTGTGTTTATACTTTAACATTTACTCTATTATACAACAGTAAATTGAGGAAAACTCAAATGCATGCTAATTATAATAAGTAGAACAAAAATAATAGTCAGACATTGGTCATTTTGCATGCTTTTGGTACGTTCAGTATATTATGATGCTTATACTTTTAAATTAACACGTGGAATGAAGTTCTTTAGAAGGAATTTCCTACTACTTAAATATACTGTCGGAATAATCCTTAATCAACCTCGATTATCACATTTTTGTGAGGCATTGACCAATTTATCGGAGCTCCTGTATCACATGACCAAGGAAACGGCCTCAGAATTAAATTTTCCAGGAAGTTGCCCATGCGACTGTGAGGCGCACCGGCTCCATAGACAGAAACATCGCATTATGGCCTCGCTCTGAGCCTCCTGATGCGACAGTTGTGTACATACCTAACCGGCAATCCGTCACCATCGACGCCCTGATCATGGACCTCCAGTCCAGAGGCTTTTTTCGGGGCCATCGGAGTTGTCAATAGTACTCCCAAAGTACTATATTATTTGATTTTGAGCACTGTCACTTTTGCACGCCCGGGGATTTAAACCGAGGTGACAGTAGTAGCACTCACCCCATCTGCCGGTCAGCTAAGCTAGCTCGCTAAGTCCATAGCCAAGAAGGGCATCACTTTTCTTTTGGAGTAAAGGACAAGGAAACTACAACACCACTACTTTCATTAACAGAAGACTGATCAAAGGCTGATTCCCCGAGTTCCCATCTAACTACATATTCACTATTGATTGCTGGTAAGAATAAAACTCACGTTGGTGTTGCTATCTTGAAGTACAAGCCTGGCTTCATTTTTGTCAAAGGCACACAGGCTAGCTATGCTAATGCTAGTAGGTTGAACAGGCCCTGCCGGCTGTCAGTCCTCTCACTGACACAGCTAGCCTGCTAATCTTGCCAAGAACACGATAACGGATCAGACTAAATGTATCTGAATCGTTTGAGGTTAGTTTAACGGTAGGTACTCAGTCTGGAGGTATTATTTACAGTTGCTTAGCTAACATTAGCTGAAATGACAGCCAGGGTGTCTCCTCTCGTGGCTAATCTTCATCTGTTCACCGTTATCACCGACGGCTCTCTGAGGTGACGCTAGTTAGCCCTTCATCGTGTCATGGTTTTAAGACGGTTTTCCACATAGTTTCACATCTAACGCCTCAATTGTACCGGTGTGACTGAAAGCTTGCCGTTATTTGTCTTGTTAGCTTAGCATTAGCTCAAGTTTAATGTCAGGTTGACTGTTTAATTTTACTGGAGGAGCTCGCAGGGCCTGTAATTAAATACACTTCGTAGGACAGGGCTGGGCTACATCGCTAACCAACATTAGCTTAACTGTAACCAATCAGTGTCAAGAGTTGCAACATGTTGGCTAGTACCGGCTTATCTGCAGTGCTCCAGTTTTGATTTATCAACATATTGTCCTTCTCCACAGAAAGATGATCAAACTGAACTCTGTAGTTTAAGGTTAAATGTGGACATATCGGCCAGCCACGTAGCGAAATGTCTGACAGTGGGACACGTAATGCTGGCCGGCTAACGATTTAACCTGCCTCGGCCGGGAATGCTGCCTGGTTAGCAGGCCAGTAAAACGTATTTTTATCCTGTAACTTCGCTAAGAGACAATCGGAAGCTTTCCCTTAACTACCTGTCACATTAAATAGCGATTCATAAGTATCAGTTCATATCTGCTGACAGAACCATATGGTAGCTTTGTGCATGGATGCCCTGTCTAAAAAGAAGCATGGCATTAGCTAGCGGCTAACGACAGTTCCTGTGTCAGCAGGTGGATGGTGGATGACACGTCTGCTTGTAGTATTCACCATATTTTATTATTCCATTTTGTCTTGGCTCCTATTCAACGATCGTTTTTCTTGATGAGAAACTGTAGTCATTTATTTTAAACGGGTATCGACTTAACGATATTTGCACATGTAGCTAGCACACCCAGGGGGCATTACAACCAATATTAACACAGCAAACGTTCTTTGACCTGAGGTATCCATTTTCTTAAATTCCCTCAAAACATGACCAGTCCAAGTGATTTGGTCCCAGGCAGGTATGTACTGTAAGTAGATCTCCCAACCATAAGACATAATCCCCATTTTGTTTTTGGTGCTTGACAGTCATAGTCCCCTATTTTATATTTGAACAACCGACAGACTTGGGTAGACATTATAACAAGCACATGAGTCGATCAATATCTGATTTGAGCAATAAATATACACAGATGAAGTTAACTCTGTGCTCATAAGACTGCAAGCATGAGCCATGAAATATGCAAGTAACCAACATTGTGGGAGGTGGTGGCGTTATCTAGTCAAACCCACAGACCACACCCTCCCTGCTTGGTAAGATGATGCCACACTGGGTTCATGTCTTCATACAGTATTGAGTTATGTCTAACCTGTATGACTGTAGTTATCATATGTAGAAATCCACTTTGAAATCAAAGTCATTTTATTTTGATGCTTGTTTTGTGCTAATGCCTAATCGTTTATTTCTTCTCCTCTATTTTTCTAAAAGGCTGGCCACACAAAGCCACCCTAATGCAGAACCACAAAAGAACGTGAAATGAACAAACCACCACAGCCTATAGCGGGACCCACCTCCGTCCCAAACCCTTCCCCTTCCCCTGGATTGACACAGGTGAGAGCCACTGACTTTGTTTAATACTAGTTGCTGTTTTTTGTATATTAAAGATAGGTAACATCATTTTTCCTGTATTCTCTCCTCTCAAGGCCGCCTACGGTCCTGGACAACCCCCTTCTCTTGTCTTTGCCTCCCCCCCACCTCAACAAATGAACTCTGCACCGCAACCAAGACAGGTATTGTTCACATCACAGTGTTTTTCCTACTGCTAAAGTTTTAGATTTCAGTGGCTTAAGTATGTGATAATTTGCCTTGTATGGGAACCTTCCCTCTTCTACTCTTTCACTAAGACTTCTGACACGGCTTCTTCTGCTATAAGGCTTTGGCTAAGTCTCTGTGTGTGTTTTGGCCTTTTGCCATGTTTCTCCTTGAATGTCAATCTTGACTTCTTTCCTCTCTTCTGCTGTCCTCCCAGTTTGCTGCAGGCCCCCGTACTTTACACCAACAGGTACTAACACCCTGCACTTTTCCTTACATCCCCCATCTCCTTAGTGTAATGCATGCTTTCAGCTCCACATATTAGAGAATATATAAGCTTTACTGTTTTATTATATGAAATAACTTTTCCTGAGGTCCAGTTGCATTTAATTCCAAATCTAATTTTAACAATGCATATTTCTCTATAGGAAATAGTTGTTGGCCAGGTCAAAATGTTTATTAGATATCAACAAGTCCTTATTTATTGTTTATCCATCATGCACCCTAACATTTTGTATTAAAGATAATTAGTTTTAGTATTGCAGCATTTTCACATTGTTTCAGTGCACACATGCGCCGGCAACCTGTAAAGTGATTTTTAAACCACTCGAGCTGGGACCGAAGAACTCGAGTGGATCGTACTTCTCTGCAGACCTGAACACAGTTGCATGTCATCGTTTGAGCTTACTGTTCATGGCTGATAAAATATTTTGTTGCTGCCTCTCTTTCTCTTCATTCTTACGGCTTGTAATCTTAACCTTTCACATTGTCTCTTGTCCTCATTTTCACTTAAATCTCACTCCCTCTCTTGCTCTCTGCTCATGTGTTGCGCGGCTGAAGGGGGGATACAGAGCATTACAGGTAACAGCTTTTCCCTTCGTCTATCTACCCCCCTCTTAACTCGGGCTAACTTCAGTATAGCAATGAGATATGAGATATGAGATATGAGATTCAGCACTCGGTGTAATTCAAATTAGACTCAGTGTAACTCAAGACCTGAACGTGCTGTACATATTGGCAGTCACAGTGAGTGCTTCCAGCTGAGTTTAGGTCTGTGACTGAACACATACACAAGCACAACGCTTGTGTGTTGTGCTTGTGTGTGTGTTCATAACACGTGAGTTAGGACAACAATAGCTAAGACACTAAATAAGCACATGGAGCATCAGGTTTGCTTGTGCTTCTGACATACTCTTCATCGTTCTTTCTTTATCTTCCCTCATTTGTTTTCTAGAGTTACTATCAGAACCGACCAGCAATGGCCGCGAGTGCTCCAAGGCTGCAGACGAGTAGTGGCCCCCGACCTGTCGGACCCACTCACGTCTACCCGCCCAACTCCCAGATGATGATGATTTCCCAGCAGCAGCTGTCTTTTGCTGGCTCCCCTCAGGGATACTTCATCCCCCCTGGACAGGTTAGTTTACTTTATTAGTATTACTTAGTATCCATTTGACAAATGACATGCAAAGTACATGCATATAACCAGTCTACCCAACAACCTGCCGATATGATATTAAGTATATCTTAATGATTACTGGGATAATAATCTCATCATGAAATGTACATGTTGTCCCACGCCTACTGTGCGCATCACATTGCTGTTCTGGCACCAAAGTTGAAGTATTTTTCTCATGAAGAAATACAATTTGAATAATTGGGGTGAACGTCTAAGACATTTAAGTGTTAACAACCGTAAAGGTTCTCTTAGGAACGTAGGGGATTACCTGCTCCTACTAAATGAGTGTAAGGAAGCCCCGTTAAAACTACTGCCATGGAAAAAAATAATTTTTGGCTTAGGAAATTGAGTTCAAAGTAATTTTCCATTAAAGAGACAGATTATCAAGCAGCAAAGAATTACGAGTGCCACAGTTTGTCAAATGGTAAACTTAAACAGACTGAAACATCAACAGCCAGAGAAAATCAGTCTTTCTGCTTCAAAAAGCCTGACTGAAGTGTGTGAGCATGTGACTTGTAGGCAAAAGAAATATAAGCTGCGTTTCAAAAAGAAATTGGGACAATATGCACAAATGTTAGTTTCTTATCTTCCAAATCCAAAGACAGATGTTAGAAAAAAGGCTTCTCTTTTTGGGTTAATACAGTGCATTTCTGTGGAGATGACGCATAATAATTAAATACGTTGTTGTAATCTCTGTCTCTTTATTGTTTCTCTGCAGTACCGGGCCCCATATATGCCTCCTACTCAGCAGTATCCAGTGACCACCGCTACAGCAAGCTTCTACCCGGGAACTAGCCCTGCTGAATACCCTGCTTATGGTAAGGGGTTTTGGACAAGACCAACAACAACCAAGCGCAACTATAAACATGGACAATTGTCAGTTAAAATCTTTAACACCAGAAAAACACATTTAACTTCAGCATGTAGTTTAAGTCTGTTTATATTTGCGCGCCTCTTCGCCCATATGGTATCGCCGGGTGTGTGTGGTGGCTTGGCTTGGCTGGTTGGTGTGTTTAATGTCTCTGTGGGTGAAACACAGCTGTATGTGGTGAAGTGCCAGTTGCATGTAGTCTGGCTTGATTCTGCTTTGGCCTGTGTGCTCTCTATCTGCAGTCTCACCTGACACTGCCTTACAGGTTCCATGAAATGGCTTTGAGACAATAATTGTGTCCTTTTGCTGGATGCATGTCTAAATAGAAATTCTGTTTGGGTGGTTTTCATGTAAAGACTAAATATTACTGAAAGCATTCAGGACAAAGACTACCTGATGCAAGCAAATATTTAAGTATTGCTGCAAATACTGCACATGAAACCATTTTCTTTTAAATCCCCCCAAACACACATCTTGTGTTACTGCTGAAGAAAACTGTGAGGAATTGGCTTGTTAAAACTTAAACCTCACATTATTTTGCTTACACACACCACTGAGTGTAAAATGAACACATTATAAAACTTTCCAGGAAGAGAAAATTATGATTTCGATTTACAGAAACAATAAATAAATAAGATACAGACAGGAACACAAGGTACGAACACGTTAAAGGCTTTGTTCATTTCATGGGACCTTTTTAACACCCTGCTTCCTCTGGATCCTCTCATTAACTCATTCTGCATCTGTCTCTTCCTGCCCTCTCTCCTTCTTTCCTCCCTCTCCCGTCCCTCACTCCCTTCCTCTCGTTTGCTGCGTTGGTTCAGAGCCCTCTCTTGCTGCGAGGGAGAGGCGGGGTGGTGGGGGGAGAGGGGGCGGGCGAGAGAACGTCCGTCTCTCTCTCCACGGTGCTCCTCTCACCTCCCAGCGCTACCCTGGTGAGTAGTGTGTGTGTGCTTGTGTGTTGTTCAGCAGGCTTTAGTGGCAACAATCTCTGTGGCCCTTCCTGTCTCTGGTAGTGTTTTACTTTTCTTTATTCTAACACGAATGTTTGCGTTCGAATGGGATACAAAGTAAAGGTTGCATACATAAAGAAAACATTCACCGGTGATCATACCACCAGAAAATACACCTAAATGCACACTGTCAGTGACGTTAGGGTTAAATCGGGGTGAAATGAACAATTTAGCTGACAATTATATAAAGGTTATACTTAAAATACTTTAATCTACAAACCACACTTTGTGAGCAGTGCTGATATAATTCTCTCTAACAATATCCTTCAACATCTGCTGAATAAAAAAACACTAACCCTTGCTAGCAAGCAGGTTTCTTGCTAGCTGGACCGAAATGTACAACAATCAAGTTCATTGTTTAAACATTCATGAGCTACAAAGTCATGTTGGCTCTTTTCCTTCACTGTACAGCACTTTAACATCCTGCTCCTGTCCGACCTTCAGTCTGGATGTGAAGGTCATTACTTCAATGGCGTGTCGTAACCAATTTCACTGTAGTGCGTTTGAACCTTAAACTTCACACAGGCAAGCTTTAACATCCAGGGTTTTGAGTAATGGCAGCGTCAATTGATTTCACAACACATATATTAGTCTGTAGATAAGCCTATATCTATATATAATATGTAAACGTTTTTTTTTTTGCTTTGACCTTGAACAACTCTTATAGACTCTGTTTTCTTTCCTACAGGATGCAAGATGTGTTTTCTCTGTTTAAAGTTCCAAATATGAATTAGGTTAACAGCCATGCTTCAGAAAGTACACAGTAAATACTTTTTTTGTCAAGACTACAGGAAAATAAACTCTTGTGACTCCGGATTGGAGCTGCGTCTTACACTTTTGGGATGGTTTCCTTTTCATTAATACTCTTTATTGTTTGGTTTACCTGTTACAGCAGGAGCATACTATCCAGCACAGCCGCAGTACTCCCCAGCTGTCCAGCCGGCACCAGTCATGATAAACCCCGCCCAGCAACAGCAACAAGCCCCGCCTCCTCAGCAACCACCGGCACCGCCACAAGGGCCACCAAAGAGGGAACGCAAAACGGTAGTGTGTCTCAACAAAAGGGCAGCGCGCCTCTTGTCTGAGGTCAAACAGTTTTTTTGAATGGACAAAAAAGTGTATTGTCTGTCCAATGTGGAACTTTCCCTTTTACCTGTAAATGACAATAGTGTTCACCATGATGGGTGGCTGCCATAGATCAGTAGCGACAGCATTGTTACACACTGGCTGTGCTTTGATGTTGGCTACATGTTAGAAATCTAACCAATATGTATTCTGCCTTTTTATAGATAAGGATACGAGACCCCAACCAGGGCGGGCGTGATATCACAGAGGAGATCATGTCGGGTGGAAGATCCACCACCACACCGACCCCCCCACAGGTGAGGAGACATTTTGAGAAGACTGTCTTTATGGACTCATTTGAACTCTGATCTGAAACAGGAAGATATAGTCATAAAAAGTATGTTTTTTTTGTTGTATTCTATGTCTTGAAAACTAACGAGTCATGGCTCTGTTAATCTGGGATTAAGGTTTTGTTTTTCTTATCTAATCCCTTCTATCTCTTAATCTAATTGTAAAACAACCAATAATGTATTGTTTAAATTTTTAAGTTACAGCATACAAATATCAATGCTTGAGCAGATCATAACTATACCTTTTTAGAGAAAATAAATGACATTTGGTTGGTTTGTGTTGGAGAAAAACAAAGCACAGCTTTGAAATTCTCTCCACACCTGCTCCCAATTTATTTATTTGTCATGGCTTCACATCTCTGTGGTAACCTTTTGCACAGCAAACATCTAGCACAGTGTTTTAAAAGAACAAAAATACAAAGCCAAGCAAATACACACTGATGTTTTGAGCTGTGGTTGTATTTTCAGGATAGTTTGCCTCAACTAGTACATAGAGTTGCCAGCTTGGTTTTACAGAACACATTTTTTTTTAACACTATACAATACACAGTACACACGGCAGTCTTTAAAATGACCATAACGCTTAATAATCACTTCTTTGAAACGGTCACAAATGATTTCATCACAATTACTTATGAAAGGCATGGATGTATGTCATAAATACGTTGCAATCTGTGTTTCCATTTCATTTATCAGAGATTTAAACCCTTATTACTGTTTTGTGACTGCAGGCTTCCACAGCAGAATCGAGTCCTGCGCAGACAAACGGAGAAGTTACACAGCCAGCCACTACAGTGACTAGAATAGGTGAGTACAGTTCCTCAGTTTTGGTTTACATAACGAATACAAGATGGCTGTATTCCACATTTTCCAGATTGTGACTATTCTGTATATTTTGCTGCCCAGATGACAACACTGAGCCTCCTGTGAGCGCTGAAACCCCCCCACCTCCTGCCACAGCAGAATCAGAGCCTGTGGAGGAAGACCAACAGGAATCGGATGACCAGATGACACCGCCTGCTGAGTTAGCCGCACAATCTGTAGCCCCTGCAGCCGCCGCTGAGGTGCCACCCCCATTGAAAAAGGACCTGCCGTCTCCCTCCCCCCCCCCCTGCAGCAGCAGCAGCAGCAGCAGCAGCAGAGCCTACTACTACTCCAGTTGAGGCCGAAAACACAGTTGATACTAAAGTAAGTGACACGGTAGACGCTCCTGTCAGCCCTTCAGCATCATTAGCAGCAAAAGAGGCGCCTGTCAGGAAGGAAGAACCACAGGCTGCCCCTGCTCCCGCTGAGAAGGTACTAGAAAAGGAAGAAAAGAAAATGGAGGAGGTGAAGAAATCTGAGAAAGAGGAGCAGGTGGCCAGCGCTAAGTTGGAGCCTGCCGTTGAGCTTGCTGCAACGGTTACCCCCGAAAAAGAAGCAGAAGAAGAGACGGCTACAAAGACAGAAACAGAGGTCTCTCCACCTCCGCCCTCTGCAGAGGAACCTGCTGCTGCTCAGACTCAGAGCGTCGCCCCGAGCTCTGAACCTGCTGCTGCTCAGACTCAGAGCGTCGCCCCGAGCTCTGAACCTGCTGCTGCTCAGACTCAGAGCGTCGCCCCGAGCTCTGAACCTGCTGCTGCTCAGACTCAGAGCGTCGCCCCGAGCTCTGAACCTGCTGCTGCTCAGACTCAGAGCGTCGCCCCGAGCTCTGAACCTGCTGCTGCTCAGACTCAGAGCGTCGCCCCGAGCTCTGAGCCTGAACCCACACCGGCTGAGGCAGCAGAGCCTCTCCTCTCCAACGGTCTTCCTCAGGACGCTGAGGAACTCGCTGATGATGTGGCATTAACAGACACTACACCCCTTGAAAAGCCTGAAGCGTCGCAATCTCAGGAATCCGCACCTGTGGCTAAAACGGCAATGCCTGCCCAGGAGGAGGTAGAAGAGGAGGAGGAGGAGGAGAAGAAAGAGGAGGAGAGTAAGGAGACAATTGAAGATGCCCCTCCTGCCGCTGTAAGCTGCCCTACAGAGGAATCCACTATGCAAGGTAGGGTGGAGTTTATTCTGGCTCACGTGTAGGTTTGTTATTTGTGTCTGTGGTAGATTTTAATATCAACACTGCCTCCTTTTCTTAAAGCTGCAACGTCCGTGCCAAAGAAGAGGAAGAACATGAAGGAGCTCAACAAGAAGGAGGCCATCGGAGACCTCCTGGACGCCTTCACAGAGGTGAGTGTCAGTCCGGATGACCACATGAAAGATCGATATTAACAAAAGGACACAGTGTTCATGTGTCTCCGCAATTTCAGACGTATCAACAATATTTTTGAGGACATTTTATAACACTAAATTCTGCATCAAGTAACTTGGTCATCATAACACGTCCTCATCTCTTGGTGTTTTTGTTTGTCGCAGGAGCAAGAAGCCAAGCCTGCTCCCGAACCCTCGTCCGCTCAGGCCGACCCGGCACCTGTTGCTCCGCCCGCGCCTCCTGCTGAAGTTGTGGATGAAACCTGGGAGGAGAAGGAGGACAAGCAGAGCGATAAACCTAAAGCAAAAACTGAGCCAACTGAGGCGAAATACCAGTACAAAGAAGGTATGCTGTGACCAACATGCTCTAGAATTGGCAATACAAAAAAGAAAGGGGGGCACAGTCAAATGTATTTATAATTGTGTTTGTTAATGCAACAGTTGATTCATATATACAATGTTTCTTCCATCTCTCTCAGAACAATGGAAGCCGATAGACCCAGAAGACAAGAAGCGGTACGACCGGGAGTTCCTCCTGGGCTTCCAGTTCATCACCGCCAGTATGAACAAACCTGACAACCTGCCCACCATCAGTGACGTGGTCCTGGAAAAGGTAAGGGACTTTTGTACATCATTTTGAGAAATGAGAAATAAGTTAATATTCGAGGGGGAAAAAAGCGTTGAGAAATTAAGCAGTCCTCCACTTCTTTAAACATTAACATTTATTTTTACCTTCAGGCAAACAAGACTCCGATGCGGCCTCCTGACCCAGCTCGCATGATGAATGTCGGTCCTGATTTTACCCCCTCTTATTTGGGGAACCTCGGAAGCAGATCGACGGGGGGACCCCGAGGCCCAGTGAGTGAAATGGACTCTTCAAAATCCCATGTATATGTTGACAAAGGTTTATTTTCTAACTTTTCCCTATATCTTTTCCCACCCCTCCTTTTAGCCACCGGGCGGGTCGGGCCACGTCGGACCGGGCCACGTCGGACCGGGCCACGTTGGGTCGGGCCACGTCGGACCACGCCGCTCCCAGCAGGGTCCGAGGAAAGACACCAGGAAAATCTTCACCAGCTTGTCCCTCGGGGAAGACATACAGCTCAACAAGGCTGAGAAGGCCTGGAAACCCGGGGTAAAGAAGTCCACACAGAGCCACACCGAAGAGGTGGCCGAAGACGACGACCCCGAACTGGCGAAGACTGCCGAGCTGTTCAAGCGTCTGCGCAGTATCCTCAACAAGCTCACCCCTCAGAAGTTCCAGGAGCTGATGAAACAAGTGCAGGATCTGACGATAGACACCGAGGAGAGGCTGAAGGGAACCATTGACCTCATCTTTGAGAAGGCCATCTCAGAACCCAACTTCTCTGTGGCCTACGCCAACATGTGCCGCTGCCTTATGGGGGTAAGTCGAGGAATTCTTGTTTTTGTTAATTTCCTCCAATGTTGACACGTAAAACAATGCCCTTTTTGTCTTTTTTTGTATCTTTTTGTATCCATATTATTATCAATGAGATGTAAAGTGTATACTAAATAATGTGTTTCTCCCTCAGTTGAAAGTCCCTGCCACAGACAAACCAGGAGTTTTAGTGAACTTCCGCAAACTGCTGCTCAACCGCTGCCAGAAAGAGTTTGAGAAGGACCAGGACGACGATGAAATCTTTGAGAGGAAGCAAAAAGAAATGGAGGTTGCCAAAGAAGTAAGAAATGTGATCTTTTAACGAGACGGGTCACAACCGACACATGTTTTCGTTGTTTAATCGGACTCGACTGATCATATTACTGAGTACAGTTTCCATTTGTTTCTGCCCCAGGGAGAGGAGCAAGAGCGCCTGAGAGTGGCGCTGCAGAACGCCAGAGACCAGGCCCGCCGCCGCTCAATGGGTAACATCAAGTTCATCGGAGAGCTCTTCAAGCTGAAGATGCTGACGGAGGCCATCATGCACGACTGCGTAGTGAAACTGCTGAAGAATCATGATGAAGAGTCTCTGGAGTGTCTCTGCAGGCTGTTCTCCACCATCGGCAAAGACCTGGACTTTGAGAAGGCCAAGGTAAGAAAAGCACAAACGTTTACACATTCAGCTGCCCCGGCGTTTTGAATGTGCCACCGATTGTTAGTGATGGGTTCGAGGAACTGAGGAAACTATATAAATATCACTTATTCATTTATACTTAGCTCAACATTTCAAAGCCATGACTCGTACAATCTGTTTTTCCCTGTTAGCCTCGCATGGATCAGTATTTCGCCCAGATTGACAAGATCATCAAAGAGAAAAAGACTTCATCCAGAATCCGCTTCATGTTACAAGACGTCTTGGACCTCCGAAGCGTAAATATTCATTCTTCCATAGCGGGATATTGCAATAAAAGTAATCTAGGAGGAGTCTCATGAGACTTCTGAGTCTCATAAGAACCATGAATGTCATTAACGAAAATGATGGGACTGTTTTATAACGTCTACAGAGTAACTGGGTGCCGCGTAGAGGAGAACAGGGGCCGAAAACCATCGACCAGATCCACAAGGAGGCAGAGCTGGAGGAACAAAAGGAAATGATGAAAGTCCAGCAGATCATGTCCAGGGGAGGAGGAGGAGGAGGAGGAGGAGGAGGAGGAGGAGGTGGTGGTGGAGGAAGAAGGGACATGGGAGGGAACATGGGGGGCCGAGGCTCTCACCCACAGGGGGGCCGCGGGACCAGCCAGCCTCAGGACGAGGGCTGGAACACGGTGCCCATCTCCAAGAACAGACCCATCGACACCACCCGCCTCAGCAAGATCACCAAGGTAACGTCCAGGTGTTAGTTTGCATTTTTGTAGTCAGTCTTGTGTCAAATATCCTTGTTTGTATCACATCTAGTCCACCACTTGGTTTTATTTGTGAAGTTGAAGTGAAAACGGTTGACATTTGACTCCTTTTTAGTTTTTTTTATATTATATTGTCAAGTAAGTCTAGTCAAAACATTGTGTCATTTCTTTCTCCCACGCCGTGTCGTTGCCCTGTAGCTTTAACTCGAGTCATTTACTCGGAGTCATGCTGACTGATATGAGCGACCTGAAATGGCGACACAGCAGAGGACATGAAGCGGCTGCATTGAAGAAGAAACAGTTTCAAATATTTTGTCTCCTTTTTTCTTGTCAAATGAAATTATGATTTTGGTTGATTTTATTTTCTAAACTACAATTAAGTCCCTTGTTTTTTTTTACCATATGACATGTTAATATTGTTACAGTTTTGACGTCAGTGCCAACTCGTCATCGCCTCGTTTTAGTCGAGGTCAACAAGCATCTTTAGTCATAGTTTTCTTTAACAAAATAAACCTTTTAAGGTATTTGTCATAAAATCCCCGTTTCAGGTTTTCACTTGAACTCAACGCCTTGTCACCTGTCAGTAATTCCAATATATTGTTTGAGGCCTCGAGTGTTTTTTGAATGCAGCGTAAGAAATTGCCCCAATTCTTTTTACAGTTATTTTTCTCAATTACAACTTTTTTGAATGAAGCCGTGTTCAGATAAACCTGATCTTTTAAGACTTGCATTTGACTTGTTTGTTAATGTAAATGTTGTTTTGACCTTCAGCCTGTTAATCTGGACTTCAACAATCAGCTGCTGGCTCCAGGGGGAAAAGGCATGTGGGGCAGCTGGGGCAAAGGCAGCAGTGGAGGAACCGGAGCCAAACCAGCCATCGGAGAGCCGGGTAAAACACCTACTTTAAAAAGACAGTGTGGTTTTAGGCTTTTTTTTAAGTGGCTGAGTTTTAATCTGTCCTTTTTTAACACTTTTAGAGCCTGGTCGTCAATCTACCAGCACCGTCAACCGCTTCTCAGCGCTGCAGCAGTCTGGCTCCGCGCCGCCTGCCACGGACTCTGATCGCAGAGCTCCTCAGAGGTATTAACTGCTGCAGATATTTTCTCATCAAGGGAAAAAATGTTGTACTTTTGTCTTTTGTCTTTTTTAGATCCTTCACTTTCTACCAGAGTAACTGTCATTGTTTATTCAGAGAGTTTTTGGACACTTCATGAGTAATGTTGACCTGTTTGTGTCACTTTCAACCTTTTAGCTCGAGCCGTGAGCGTGGCGGGGATCGCTTGGAACGATCGGATCGCAGCGAGGGACGGGGGGGTCGTGACGACAGCAGCAGTCGCAACCAAATCAGCAAGAGGAGCTTCAGCAGAGAGTCTCAGGAGCGCGGCGGGAGGACCGGAGACCTGCGGGCGGCCACTGAGGCGGTGCGGCGCGTCGCCAGCATGACTGACGACCGGGACCGAGGAAGTCGGGATCGTGGAAGCCAAGATCGTGGTAGTCAGGATCGTGGTAGTCGGGATCGAGGTAGTCAGGATCGAGGTAGTCGGGATCGAGGTAGTCAGGATCGAGGTAGTCAGGATCGCGGCAGTCGGGATCGAGGTAGTCAGGATCGAGGTAGTCGGGATCGAGGTAGTCGGGATCGCGGCAGTCGGGATAGAGGAAGTGAAGACCGGGCCCCAAGCAAAGAGCTCCCAGGTGAACAACCCAGTGAGCAAAAGTAAAGATTTGAAATAGATATGATACAGACGTCCTTTAGGGATAGCTGCATAAACAATGATTGGAATAATATTTAACCCTTACTGTTTCTATTATCTCTGCAGTTAAGCGTGAGAGCGCTCCCACTCCTCCTCCTACTATTTCAAAACCTGCCTTGAGTGAAGATGAGTTGCAGAAGAAGTCGAACGCCATCATCGAAGAATACCTCCACATTAATGACTTGAAGGTACGAACATGAGGCCATGCGAACTGGCATGCACCGAAATTGATTTGACCTCAATGTACCCTTATAATCATCATTCAAACCGCTTCCAATGGCCAACCTCTTGTGTCTTGTTTTGCTGCTGCAGGAGGCGTTGCAGTGCGTGACTGAACTCGGCTGCTCCTCGCTGCTCTACGTGTTCGTGCGGAGCGGCGTGGAGTCGACGCTGGAGCGCAGCACCATCGCTCGACAGCACATGGGCATGTTGCTGCAGCAACTCATAAAGGCCGGCGCACTGCCCACGGAGCAATACTACAAAGGGTGAGCATGGAAAATTATCATCATCAAAGATTTTGATACTTACTCTTTGACCGATGAGAATGTGTGTTTGAAGTGAGATTAAATGCTGTGTTGTTTTTGGGACTGCAGGTTAGAAGAGACCCTGGAGATTGCTGAAGACATGGCCATAGATATACCTCACATCTGGCTCTACCTGGCTGAACTCATCACCCCCGTGCTCCATGAGGGAGGCATCCCTATGGGACAGCTCTTCAGGTGGGCTACAGCAAAAATAATTGAATCAAATAAGTCCAACAAAAAAATGTCTTGGTATAAAACGTTGTTTGAAATGTGGGATATCCTATAAACAGTCATCAAACTGTTTTTCTCAAATAAATACATTACATTTTTAAGGACTATCTAGGCCTTAACGTGTGATTTTACACATGCAGCTAAAAAAGACTGATTCAGTCACATCACTTGTTTTGTCAGCTTCTCACCTTTTTTTACTTCAATCCACTCACAAAAATCGACATACTTTTTAGCCTCGAGTGTTACTGGTTTTCCTAATGATGGTAGTAAAAAGACAACTAAATAGAAGTGATGTCCTAATAAAGTTCAAATGCATAACTCTGTGTGTGTGTGGTGTGTTCAGGGAGATCTCCAAGCCTCTGGTGCCTCTGGGCCAGGCCGGCGTTCTGCTGATACAGATCCTCAAGCTGCTCTGCAAAGAAATGGTACGTCTCGCATCAATATTGAACATTTTGAATGTAAACTTTAACATCTGTGTCATTAGATCCTGTTGTTCCTAATCTTAATAATTAGTGAGTATTGACAGTTTGGACACACTGGATTGAAAGTTTGTTTTTTCCCCATCAGACCCCTAAGAAGGTAGGGGCCATGTGGACAGAGGGGGATCTGAAGTGGAGCGAGTTCCTGCCCGAGGGCGACGACGTCGACGAGTTTGTCACCGAGCAGGTCTGTAGAACAAAACGGCAACTATTTATTCTGTGTCCTGACCCCGTTTAGATCTCTGGAGGCACAGGGACATTTTATCAGGAGTATATTTCAAGCTGTGAGAGTAGACTGAAATACCTTTACACAATCATGTGGAAATCAGACCTATAATGTGCCTATACTTGTCTGGATTACATGTGATGATTAAATAAAGATTTTAATCAAGGATAATTGTTAAAACAAATGCAGACCTTATGCCACACCCACCTAAGCCTCATGCTCTTGTGTGTTTCGGGTGTTTACGTTTATAAGAGAATCAAAAAGTAATGATAACAACTGGACTTAATATGTAACAAACAAAGTCAGAATATACATGGATTAATCTGGATATATAGAAATGCTGTAACTTTTTGGAAATGTCCAATCTTAACAAATAAGACGAAACAATCTTTGTTTCAAGAGTCTGGAAAATGTTGGTTTAGGTATCTTTTTAAAATGGGAATTTTACACTTAAAAAGCTGTAGAAAGTACGTTTTTACAAGTTGTTCCCTTACAAGAGCATCTTCAATTGTCTGTCTTTTTTAAATTTAGAAAATGGAGTTCACCATTGGAGAGGAGACGGAGGAGAAGAAAGACGAGGAGAAGGACGCCCTCACTGGAGAGGAGATCAGCAAACAGCTGGAGAGACTCATCCAGGACAAAGCCAACAACCAGCGCGTCAGAGACTGGGTCGAGGTGGGACATACTTCCTGTTTTACACATTAGATATCCTATTTGTTTTATGCCATTCAAAAAGCTGTGCGAGTCATTTGTTTTCCCTGTTGAACTGTTATTATTCTTTTTTTTTAGGCTAACTTGGACGACCAGCTGACCACTTCCAACCAGTTCATACGAGCTTTGATGACGTCCGTGTGTCAGTCTGCCATCATCTGTAAGTGTGAATGATGCCGTGTGTTTAGGCTATAACGCATCCTAAACATTTACCTGTTGGTCATCACTGATTGTCTCCTCATCACAGCATGTTGAAACGGTCACTATTACTGATGTATCGCTGTTCTGTGTTTATTGACTGTAGATTTAATTTTGCAGCCCTCTAAAGAACATTTAATTGAGAGTTTGTCTCTCCTTGTTCCAGGTGACACCCCGTACCGGGTGGATGCTAAGCAGATCGGCCAGAGGGCCAGTCTGCTGCAGAGATACCTGTGTGACGAGCAGAAGGAGCTGCAGGCGCTCTACGCCCTCCAGGCTCTGATGGTGCACATGGAGCAGCCAGCCAGTGAGTAATGATATTCATCTCCTGTATGTAGAAGTTATTTATCTTCGCTAAATTATATCTTCACCTTATTCAAAAATGGCTCAATAATCACACTGCTTATTCACAGTTGTATTAATTTACTGTCCTCTTTCGGTGTGGTTATGAGGCTGTTGCCATTTGTATTTTATGCATTTTAATATAAATGGCTACTATGATCATTTTCACCTCTAGTGAGAATTACAGTTTGGGTCATAATTAAAATATTCTAAAAAGGGTTAAATGAATAGGAAGGGGAAGAGTCTAGATTTGACAGTAAAAAGACTCCAAAATGTACTGTCGGTGTTAACATACAGTTGTATTAACACCGACATGCATCACAAATGCAGCCTGAGGTTATATATACTGCAGGAAGGCTTGTGTAAGCTTTCTTCCTCTGCAGCAAACAGTTTTTCATTAAGACTGGCAGATCAGGGCTGACCTCTGTGTGCTCTCTCTGCAGACCTGCTGCGGATGTTCTTTGACGCCTTGTACGACGAGGACGTTATCAAAGAGGAGGCCTTCTACAAATGGGAAACCAGCAAAGACCCTGCGGAGCAAACGGGCAAAGGTGTGGCCTTAAAATCAGTCACCGCCTTCTTCACCTGGCTCCGCGAGGCCGAGGAGGAGTCTGACAAAGAATAAAAAGAGTGAACTGAAAGCTGCCGCCCCCCTTTGGCGACGTGGGGGCTCTGCAGGCGGCTGCAGAGAGTCATGGACATTATTGCCATAGAGGCAGACTCAAATCAATCCTCAATGAGGATAAATCTTTATTATTTTTTCTTTTCTTTGAGGGATGGACTCAGAAAACAATCATTTCTCTCTACCTTCCCTCTCTTGCTTCCTCATTATTCCCCCCACCTGCTTGTCAAAGCAAGTGTCCTCATCAAATAAACTTGAAAACTGATGCAGCAGGATTGCTTGTTAATGAGGTGTGAAGTATCTCACATCACTACAGAACTGTTTTCTCACAATAATACAAACCGACAGGCTGCTTTTTTATGGTTCTAGATAATTCTAATGCCTAACATCCTATCTGATCTTTAAGAATAACAGCAGGGCGTGTGGTGTAGTGGTTCCCTGAAACGTCATGCCATAATGTGTGTTCAACCCAAACTCAGCTCTTATGTCTTTGTCCCTTACTGGAGTGTGCAGCATGACTGAAGTGTGTTTCTATTAATGATACAGTGGACGAAACGTCGATAGACAAATGTACATGAACTAATCTTAATTTGTTGGATGGAGTTTTTAAAGCAAAGGTTGTCTATTTTCTCTTCCTGTTTCGCAACATGAACTTACAAAGGACAGAAACATGGCGGACCGGTGTTGATCTTTGACCTTCACTACTGGGGGGGGGGGGTCTTAATGCTTCCTCTAAGCCATCCTCTCCCATCCCCAGTGGTGAGCCACACTGACTGACTTCTCATCTTTACCTCTTCTATACTTAAACCTGAGCTGTCGTAGAGGACTAATGACCCAATCACCCTTAAAACTTGAAATCTACAGATAATTGACTTGATGAAAATATATAAAGTACAAAAAAAACAGCAACACAGAAATGATCCGAAAGCCTTTTCTACATCAAGTGGAAACTTATTTCAGGAGCGTTCTGTAAATATATAATAATAATTAAAAAAAACTTCTTTTTTCAGTTTTATTTTTCAGAAGCGATAAATTGCTGATTTAATTGCAGTGTAACCTTTTCCAACAGAAACCGCAGTTATCCGGATGCAGAGAGGTGCTTTAGATAATCCATTGATTATTAGTTGTATTGGAATTTTGTAAATATTTTTTTGCTTTCTTTATTTAAGAAATTATGCTTCTTTTGCATCGGAAACTGGAAAGATGAGGTAACAGAACATTGCAAATAAAGGACTTATTAAGTTGCTGAGAAGAGTTTTGCATGAGTCTGTCTGAAGCGTGTCAATACCTTGGATATATTGTTTTGTGTGTGTGGTTGTACAGAGACACTCCAAATCAACTGACCTTTCCTTTCTTTACTGTAAATAGTCAAATGTAGTTTGAGTTTTCTTAATGACATGATATTATAAAACTAACTGGTAGAAGATTGCAGCACAGTCAATATTATAAAAACAACAGGAGGGCATCTAAAGATATAAGCAAAAGTCACCAGCCTTAGGTTAAGAAAATGATACTTCAGTATGTTTAGTAAACTGAGTTCAGATAGGGAATTGATGTGAAAAAGGGAAATCGTAGGTTTTGATTTGGAAATTTTTTGTTTGTGAATACGTTTTTTTGCATATAGAAAATTGTAATTCAGGAGAGGAAAATTTGGAGTGGTTCCTCTGTGAAGGTTGCATCATGGCTGCATTAGCCCACTAGGTCACCTTGGAGAAAAATGGGCTGTAGACCCCCCCCCACTGAGCCCTCATTTTCCAACTGAGTATGCAGTCTGTTGTCTGAAAACAAACACATACATACACTGTAGCTTCAGTATATTTTATATATTAATAAAATGTCAAAAAACGTCAGCATTAGTACTATTTTTCTGTTATGTCAATTTTTTTTAAATGTTATTCAAATGTAATAAGGGGAAATATCTTTAAATTATAATTATTCATAATGTAAATTAACTTTAATATTGAGCCAAAAATATTTGCCAGAATAAAAATTACAACAAAATGTAACAAATCACAAAAAAAACTTTACAAATAACCAATAAAGCTTAGAAGGCTAAAACATACCTACTTATATTTATATTATTATAACATAATGGAAATCACAGGATTTCACAGGAAAACAAATGCATTGTGATAATGATGGAAAATAAGATACAAATATTATACATGCACATAAGTGGGTTAATCTAGTAAAATAGTTTTTTTTATAATAACTAATTTTTTTAATATATTTCCAGCGTTTTCTTGACATCAGACTGCAGTGGATTCCGCACATGAACCGCATGCCCCCTGCAGAGTCTGTTTACCTCACCACTGCGGAAGTGTGCGGTAAAGTAGCGTAAAATCAGAGCAAAAACTAAAAAGAGAGAATAAGAAAAGAAAAGCAAAAACCAGCAGCAGAGCTATCCGGGGCCAAATCTGCAGGGGACTGTAGTATCTTGATGCTGTCTCTGCGGGGAGGAAGGGGGGGGGGACATAGATGTGACACCGCCTCGCGCTGATGACGCTTACCATCGGGAGACAGCCAAGTAACCCATAGCGAGCAACAAATGGTGCGTCTGAGCCGGAGACCTGATGCTGGAGACAGGAGCATGCATCCTGAGAGCCATTGATGCTGCAGAGCGAGCTGCACGGGGACAGCCGTCATCTGTTGATCGGATCGGAGACAATTAAGCGCATTATCATGATGAGCGGTCCCACTTACAGGTAGGATCATTACAGAACACCGAGCAGCGCTAGTGAAGGGGGCGTTCAGGGCAGGGGGGTCCGGCGTGTTTACCCGATGCGGGTCTGGAGACATTGGTATGCAGATGCAGACTTCAGAGGTTGCCTGGAGACCTGCTGCTGCTGCTGCATCTTGTGCGTTATGTTTCCATAATTGAAGGCTACAGGCCTGCAGCAGTCAATGGCGGTGATGTGTTGTTCAGCCGTCAGCGTGTCGCTTCTGTTGATTGAATTTCCTGAAAAAAAAATCAGCACTGCGGCTCCATCCATACAGATGCAGGTGTTTGGCTGCAGTCGACCCCACTTGTTGATCCTGTAGGGAGAAGTCACACCACAGGCTGACGATCACCCTGTGAGACATGTTTAGTCATGTTTGTGTCAAAAGAAAGGCACACTGCTGTCTGCCTCTGCAGGTAGGCTACAAGATAATCCAAATATGAATGTGTAAAGGACTTTAAGCAGCATGATCACAATTTCAAATCGTGCTACATGTTGTTGTTTTTTCAGGATAAATGTAATTTAGCAGCATGTGTATCAGCTGACAATCAGCATGTTGAAGTGGGAGTCTTTTTAAAAAGCAACATCACGCTTCAGAGAGGCCAAATCGTGCAGGTTAAATGGTTCAAAAAGAGAACAACAAGCAAATATAAAAGGGAGCAGTCACAAAACATTTGACTGCTTATCATTTAAATTATTGGTTCATCTTTTATTTTATTTTAGTCATCAAGGCTGTAAATAGTGAATATATTGTGGTTCCAATAATGGGGTCCAGACACCTAATTGGGTCACAGCCTAAATCTGAGTGTTCCCAAGATAATTAATTATAGGACTGAAACTAATAAATATTACAAGTTCCTGAAGAATACGCCAATTATTGTCTAGATTCACTAATAGTTTCATCTAGGCTATAACATCTCGTAAAATTGGGAGAATATTCTCAAGTCAAAGGTGATGTCTTTAAATGTCTTATTTTCGTAGTCCTAACCCCCATTTTTTAAGAAGAGACAAACCCAAAAAAAGCAGGAAATATCCATATTTGAGAGTCTGGAAACACCATTTTCTGACAATCAGTTTTCGAAATAGTTTGCTATTATGTTTTCTGCCAATCAACTAATTGTCGCAGCTTTAACTGATTGCAACGAACAGAGAAAAAACAATCTTATACATCATAGATTTAAAAAAAATGTTGCTCTTTTTTACATTACATTACATTGCATTTAGCTGACGCTTTTATCCAAAGCGACTTACAATAAGTGCATTCGACCAAGAAGATACAAACTTGAAGAAAACAGAATCATATAAGTACATCAGGTTTCATAGAGCCAAAACATTTCAAGTGCTACTCAACTAGCTTTAGACAAGCCAGTCCTTTATTAGTATATAAGTGCTTTGATAGTAATTCTATCGCTCGAAGTGGAGTCGAAAGAGATGAGTTTTCAGTCTGCGCCGGAAGATGTGTAAGCTTTCTGCTGTCCTGATGTCAATGGGGAGCTCATTCCACCATTTTGGAGCCAGGATAGCAAACAGGCGTGTTTTTGCAGATGGGAACTTGGGTCCCCCTCGCAGTGAGGGTGCAGCGAGCCGTTTGGTTGATGCAGAGCGGAGTGCACGTGCTGGGGTGTATGGTTTAACCATGTCCTGGATGTAGGAAGGGCCAGATCCATTCGCAGCATGGTACGCAAGTACCAGTGTCTTGAAGTGGATTCTAGCAGTTACTGGAAGCCAGTGAAGGGAGCGGAGGAGAGGCATGGTGTGGGAACATTTTGGAAGGTTGAAGACCAGACGAGTTGCTGCATTCTGGATGAGCTGCAGAGGTCGGATGGCACATGCAGGTAGACCAGCCAGGAGGGAGTTGCAGTAGTCTAGGCGTGAGATGACGAGAGCCTGGACCAGAAGTTGTGTCGCTTTCTGGGTCAGGAGGGGACATATCCTCCTGATCTTGTAAAGAGTGTATCTGCAGCAGCGGGTTGAGAGGTGCCGATGTTGATTGTTAGGTCAAGAGTGGGACAATCTTTTCCCGGAAGGAAAAGCAGTTCAGTCTTGTCAAGATTGAGCTTGAGGTGGTGAGCACCACTGAGAGATGTCAGCTAGACAAGCAGAGATGCGTGCGACGACCTGGGTTTCTGAGCGGGGAAAGGACAGAATGAACTGGGTGTCGTCAGCGTAGCAGTGGTATGAAAAACCATGCGGGCTAATGACTGATCCGAGCGAGTTTGTGTACAAAGAGAAGAGGAGGGGACCAAGAACAGAGCCCTGAGGGACCCCTGTAGTTAATTGACAAGGGTCGGACTTGGACCCTCTCCAAGTTACCCTGTAGGTGCGGTCTTTGAGGTATGAGGTGAGGAGGGAAAGTGCAGAGCCAGAAACTCCAAGTTCTTGGAGAGTGCGAAGGAGGATCTGATGATTCACCGTGTCGAATGCAGCAGACAGGTCCAAAAGGATGATGACAGAGGAGAGGGAGGCTGCTTTAGCCGTGTGCAGTTCCTCAGAGACAGCGAGGAGAGCAGTTTCTGTGGAGTGACCTGCCTTAAAACCAGACTGGTGCGGATCCAGAAGGTTGTTCTGATGGAGATAACAGGAGAGTTGTTTAAAGACAGCGCGTTCAAATGTTTTAGACAGGAACGGGAGGAGAGAGACAGGCCTGTAGTTTATAACATCGGACGGGTTCAGTATATATATGCATATATATGCAAGGAAATCCAGAGACTGCAGGGAAGCGTAGCCAGAGATGAAGTCAGCCTTAGGAACAGCTGACTGGCAGTTCCACAGGCCACCTGTAACTAGATGTTGGATCGCAGTGGAGCATGTGGGATAGACGAGAGCAGGCCGGTTATATCGATTAGGAGATACACGGGGCCAGTGATAATTGCGAGAAGACACATGATTACTGTATAGCATGAGGGGCTAAAAAACACCAGCGATACTTAGCTCAAACAAAGTAGGATTTGCCTCCTCTTTGCCTCCCTCATGACTCCCGCAGAATAACTACAGAACAATTATACAGAGTAGAATAAATGGAACAGAGAGGTCTTATAAACAATAATATAACTTCCAGAGATTACTGAGTCAGCAGGAGAGTCCTTATCTGGTCAGGATAGCACACTGAATTGTTTAGATTTTCAATGCTGCATTAAGTAAACTTTTGCTGGGGGGGCGCGATCTCACAACTGAAGCTGTCTCACTTCACGCAATCAGCAGTGCCTTCGAGTCTATTGTAATGCACTATTTGAGACAAGTGTCCGACTAAGCCCTGAGTAACAGGTTATTTGAGATGTTCTGAGATTTCAAAAACACAATTTTAGCTAGAATAACTACAGAACAATTATACAGAGTAGAATAAATGGAACAGAGAGGTCTTATAAACAAAAATATAACTTACAGAGATTACTGAGTCAGCAGGAGAGTCCTTATCTGGTCAGGATAGCACTTCTCCCAACCTTGTCGACTAGGTAAAATGATCAAAATTAAACATTCAGAGAGGAACATTTCAATTTGACAGTGAATATTTTTTTGTTTCGAGGAGACACAGGGTGT